GTTTGAATATGATTTAGGCTAGCAGTGAGCATTCTGTTTGCTTTGCGGTGCCCGAGAAGGAAGTCAAAGCTGTTGCAGATGCTCTGAGATCCAGATTTCGTCAAGCTCTGGATGCTGGGCGCCTTTCCCAGGTGTGCCCTGAAATTTAACGGTATCTTTAGGATCCTTCAGATATTCTGATGGAAAACTGACAATTTCTGGTTTCAGCTTCAGTATAATTCATCTTGTTTGTGTTTGCACATAAGCTACACATACAGCAATTGAATCTTTTGCAAGAATAAGTGCCTATGAAAACAGATATGCGTGTACCATTTTCTTTCAACTTTAACTTACTAGAGCTCAAATGATTGTCTTTCTGTTCAGGTTGCAGTCATTCCAAATTGTAGCATTTTGGCAGCAGTGGGCCAGAAAATGGCGAGCACCCCTGGTGTAAGTGCCACTCTTTTCAATGCGCTAGCAAAGGTACAAAACTACTGTCTTGTTGGTTTTCTTTGCCAAGCGAATGATGTGTGCCTTTGTAGTGTGTTGCTGATGATAGTTTCTGCATGTACTTAAATTGTTTGTCAATGCAGGCAAATATCAATGTGCGTGCCATAGCGCAAGGTTGTTCTGAGTATAATGTTACCGTAGTTATCAAGCGAGAAGATTGTGTAAGGGCTCTGAGAGCTGTCCACTCGAGATTTTATCTCTCTAAGACAACAATATCAATGGGCATTGTTGGGCCTGGTTTGATAGGAGCCACATTACTTGACCAACTTAAAGATCAGGTTTGCTATCACTTATCAAACATCACCCTTCAATGTAAACTTCAAATTGTGCTTAATTCAAACTGTCAAGTTCTCGTCTAATCTCAGTCCTCTACATCCCTTAGTGCCTGATCTTATCGTAGTGGCTCCAGGATTACTATGTGATCTAAGAGATGGTTGTATACTTTTGGCCTCTGCAGGCAGCAGTTCTGAAAGAGGAATTCAACATTGATCTGCGTGTCATGGGTATCACAGGGTCTAGGACCATGCTTCTGAGCAATTCGTGAGTGTTTCTCGTTTCTTTCTAGTTCTTGCTTACACTCCATTGGTCTATGGGTGTGTTTTAGAGAAAGCAGAGTTGTGACTGCAATGAGTTACTACGTTCTTACCCTCGTTGGTATTTGGTGTAGCGAAATTGACCTGTCAAGATGGAGAGAACTTATGGAAGAGCAAGGAAAAGTGGCTGATCTGGATAAATTCGCAAATCATGTGCAAGGAAATCATTTCATCCCAAATACCGTCTTGGTAGACTGCACTGCAGACTCTGGTATTGCAAGCCACTATTATGATTGGCTACGACGAGGAATCCATGTTGTTACTCCAAATAAAAAGGCTAATTCAGGGCCACTTGATGAGGTAATATTTGGTCTAACATCTCTGTTTCTAATTTTCCTTTTTTCCTGATTAAAACTCACATGTATCTTGGTTTGCCTGATCATATTCTCAGTACTTGAAGCTGAGAGCTCTTCAGAGGCAATCATACACACACTACTTCTATGAGGCGACAGTTGGAGCCGGTCTTCCAATTATCAGCACTTTAAGGGGCCTCCTCGAAACTGGTGATAAGATACTTCAGATTGAAGGCATATTCAGGTCAGCTGACAGTAATTGTCAATAATTTGTCATTTTGAAGTGTTTAGTATCTTCTAAGCTCTTCCACTTTTTGTTGTTTCTTCTGACTCAAGCTTTTTGCTCTATGAAATTCCTGCAGTGGTACTTTGAGTTATATCTTCAACAATTTTGTGGGCACTCGAGTATTTAGCGATGTAGTAGCGGAGGCAAAAGAGAAAGGTTATACTGAACCAGATCCCAGGGATGATCTATCTGGAACTGATGTTGCAAGAAAGGTACCCGTCTTCTTCACTTTATGCAATGAATATAAATCCTCGGCATGTCATGGAACATAATCAAGTCACCTTGTTTATAACTAGTGGTCACCTCATCTTGCAGGTTATAATCCTCGCTAGAGAATCTGGTCTGAAGTTGGAACTTTCTGATATCCCAGTACAAAGTCTAGTTCCAGAGCCCCTCAGAGTAAGAAAGACCCTTTTGTCATCGAGATCACTTCTTATTCGACATATGGGCGTCCTTTGTGCGAGTTTTCTCTAATCAAACGACAAAAATTCCTCGCGTGTTTGCTGCTGCAGTCTAGTGCATCTGCTGAAGAGTTCATGAACCAGTTGCCCCAATTCGACCAAGACATAGCCAAGGAACGACAAGCTGCTGAGGCCGAAGGATATGTAAGTTTATCTTCCTGACGCTTCATTCTTGCATGTTGCTATCTAATTCTGGTATAAAAAAGGGTTCCTTAAACTTATGATTTTTGACAAATTTCTGTTACTCAAATTTGGAATAACTAACATAATAATCACTGTGCCCATTTGAAGGTGTTGAGATACGTCGGGGTGGTGGATGTAACACGAGCAGAAGGGCGGGTGGAGCTGAGACGATACAGGAAGGACCACGCCTTCGCCCAGCTTGCTGGCTCAGACAACATCATTGCATTCACCACGAGCAGGTACAAGGAGCAGCCGTTGATTGTCCGAGGACCTGGTGCTGGTGCTCAAGTCACAGCAGGTGGCGTGTTCAGTGACATCCTGCGGCTTGCTTCCTACCTCGGTGCTCCATCGTAAGAAAACAACTATGATGGCACGCTCGCCTGAGCCTGCTGGTTCTGATAGGAGGAAGGTTTTGTGGAGCTCGTTTTCCTCTGTTTGGTGTCTCTTAGGCTTCATTTGGCTTGTTTTGTTTCATTTTCTCAGGGAAGTGTTGATGTGTAGCTAACGTTGTCTGAACTACTACTGATGAAATGGTTCAATAGAGTGGAAGTATATTTTGCATTGGTGGAGTTTACTGAAACCGTTCACGTTTGGTCACTCTCCGTCCAACCCCGTTAACTTTTGCTGATGTGGTAGTCAACTCTCAAAGTTGACCGTTAACTTAGTGATGTGGCAACTAAAAATTCGAGTGATCGGAGTTGGACAGAGGCTAACGGGAGAGTGACTAAATGTGACCTGTTTCAATCATTCGAGTGATCTAAATTGATATTAAATTTTTCTAGTGACTAAACATTACACGATTTAGTAATCTCAATGACCAAATGTGGCATTTGCCCCAAAAAGTTTGTAGCAAAGTTGGTAAACAATTCATTTATCTGAAGTTCTTCTAAATTCTTTTAAACAATAAATTTATGTCCCAATAATAATAATAATAATAATAATAATAATAACAATAATAATGAAAGTTCTTTTTTATTCATTTAGTTTTTTTTTTTCCAGTTCTCTTATCATGTTATTTACATGTGTGTTATATACAACCAAGTCCATTCTAATGACCAACTACATTTAACTGTAAATAATTCTACTTGTGTTCAGTGAAGCCCATTCGTCACAACTCCATCTAATTCAAGAATGTACTTGCCGTCAAGTCTGGAAGTTGGAAAAACTTAGCTTGAACTTATCTAAAATTACCAAATTGGCGTCCTCCAACTGACAAGATCAGTAAATCAAAAATTGAGTAGCATTGCATTATTCCTTGATATAAATATTATTGCCTGCAATTTAAAGTTGCAGTTTGTATCTAAGCGACATATGGTGTTCTTTGCCCTAATGGCAGTTCTGGTGTCTATCTTGGGATCCAGGGCTAGTATTTGCAACACTTTTTGCTCTTGTTCTTCATTTAGCTACTCTTGTTGCTATGTAAACGGGTCTCTTGCCTTTTGTTCAGCGTGGCCTGTTTTCTCGACTACAACCGGATTAGACCTCAAATTTCGTTTCGTTTGTAATAATTCTTGTGGTCTGTGTAGTTTATGTTTTCATTTTATTATAATTAATAAAATGATATCACCCTTATAAAAAAATCTATTTTCATCATGGTCTCTTCTATTATCTTTATTAATTATTTTTAAGTCACAACTCCCATCAAATTATTGAGGGGAAAAAAGTTAATTTACTAAGGAGAGGAATAGTAGATGTTGGTGATAGTAAGGACATGGATTTTTGTTTATGATGAGTAGGAAGAGAGGGAAAGTGAAACCAACTCCAGTTTGATTATAAAAGCATTAGACTCAATTTGGTTGTCTCCAATATCTTAAAGCTACCATAAATTACATTTGTGTATGGATCACAACTTAAATGAAATAATCAATAAAAAGGGTCCCTATATATTTTAACAAGCAATCTCTCAATCAACTTTCATGTATGAAGGGACATATAAATATATAGAAAGACATTGTTAATTGTGTGTGTTTCTGATCATATACTTTATATTGATCACAAAAAATTGCACTATGCTATGGTAGAAGTAATCCAAATTCCCCAAGAATGAGAATGTGTCCAACTGCATATTATGCATGCAATTCTCTAAGCTTTTTTGCTATGTTTTATCTTTTGGCTTATGAAATGAAGTCAAAACCCTCCCTAAATGCATGTTGAATAATCTCCTTGCCTATCAATAAACAATGAGGTGTGAAACCCTCGTTCAGTCCATGTGAAGGAAAAAGAAAAGTCCCCATAATGTGTGAATTATACTTCGATAGTCAAATGTAAAAGAAAACAAAGATAATATATAATTGCATCAAAACTACTTTTGGTTTGATTAAATTTGCCTCATTATTTATGGAATTAATTAATCAAACCTGAAATGGATTTTGACCCTGTTCAAACCACTTCATGGTCTGCAAGAAATAAAACCCAATTTTGAATTTGAAATTTTCACGTCCGTCACACTTTGTTTTTAATCATTAATTTGTTTCCATGCAAGTTTGATTGAGATACAATCAATAGACATTAAACAATGAATTTGGACGATTTGAAAGCTTATGCCTTTCATAATAATAATGACTGACTTAGCGAGAGCGACGTCCTAAAAGAAGTCACCAAGTAGAATGAAGCCAAATTTCAGAGATTTTTAATGCTAAATAATGATGCAATACATTGGCAAATATAGAAATAAGAAAATGTCAAAATTAAGAAATCATAACAACTTAGTAGAGACCGAGGAAGCTAAAACATAGGAATAACCATTGAAGTTTTGCTTTTCCTTGTCTTTTTTCCTTCTTCAATTTTGAAAGGACAAGAGAAACCAACTAAGATGTGAAGAAGTGTTCCAAACCTCTCAAAACAACCCTTCCTAAGAAATAAAGTAAATCAAAATTTATCAATCAATGAACATAATTTCATCTCTTTCTTTGTTACTGTCTCTTCATGTACTTGTTGTAAATGCCGATCCACAAATATTCGATGTGACGCAATTTGGAGCCAAATCAGATGACCTAACAGACATTAGTCTGGTAAATTTGCCAGATATGTTCTTTTTTATCAATTAGGGTTTACTCACATTTTACCAAAGTATTGACAATTTCATCCCTTTTTCTCTCTTACTGTCACTTTTTATGATCCATTTTTCTTCCTTCCACCCTCAGGCATTGACAAATGCATGGGCCAAAGCTTGTGCATCGGCGACGCCAAGCAAAGTATTGATCCCCGCCGGGAAATATGTGGTGGGAACGGTGGGGATGGAAGGGCCTTGCAAGAGCGAGGTCCATGTCCAAATCGATGGCTATTTGAAGGCCCAGATCGTGGGCCTCAGGCGCCTGAGTTGGATCACGTTCTCGGGCCTAAAAAATCTGGTCTTGTTTGGCTCCGGCACCCTCGACGGCCAAGGCCCCACGGCGGCGAAACTGCCTGAGAATCGCAAGAACAAAGTTGGCATGCCACTTGCTGTGGTAACACTTTTTTGTCGACTTATTTGTATCAAATATAGTTAATAGTGTAGATGAGGCAACATTTCAAAGTGGCCTACTTTCATCTTCAGCACCTCGATGACAAAAATTCATCTGATCTAAAAATTCTACCTGTTTTCCTCTTGTCAAATTCGTATAGTTAATCAATGTCAACTCGATCATTACTATCAAATTTGAAATTTGTAGATTATTTTTATTTATGAGTTCAAGTTACTATTCTAATCCGACAACTCGATGACTAATATAAGTTGATTTCGAGTAGAGAAACTATATATACCGATACTAAATTGATACAATTTTTCACAATTTTCCTATTAAGCGGTTGAACCATTTCATCATATTGTTTGTTCTTCAGAATCTGCGATTGGAGTCCATCACCAACGGCCTAATCGAAGGCCTAACGTCCAAAGACAGCCGCAGCTTCCACGTCCACATCTCCCGCTCGAGCAACATCACCGTCCGCGGCCTCACCGTCACGGCGCCGCCGGACAGCCCCGACACCGTCGGCATATACCTCCGGCGGACCCACCGGGTCAACATCTCGGACGTCGCCATCGCCACGGGGGACCACTGCATCAACCTCGCCGACGGGTCGCAGCAGGTGAACGTCCGGAACGTGACGTGCGGTCCCGGCGGCCGGACCGGGATCCTCGTCGACAGCCTCGGGAAGACTCCCGACGAGGAGAAGGTGATGGACGTCGCGGTGACGAACTGCAGCTTCCACGGGACCGGCGGCGGCGTGAGGATCGAGGCGGTGCCGGGGACGATCAACACCGCGATGGATATCACGTTCGAGGATTTGGTCATGGACAAAGTTGAGAATCCCATTAGCGTTGATCAGAAGTTTTGCCCTGTTCAGTCCTGTGAAAAGGTTAGTGCAATTAAGTATTAACTCACTCACCGAGAGTTAGGTTGCATACGAAGTACCGTTTTTTATTATTGTTTGTTCTATAACTTTGATGATCATTGATCAGTTATGATTTGAGAGCTTATCTTGAATACCGAAAATTAACTAATCCCGGTCATATGTGCATCTATATACACATTTATGATCTATAGATCTATTATATTTTCGATCTTTTGTATGTACCCTCGCGTGGCGACATGAGTACATAAAAAAGAAAGAGAGAGATGGAGTTTCTCTCGCTTTTGGCATAGCAGGTCCCAACGGGAGATAAATTTTCGTGTTTAGTACGTTTTTTAATATTTTCGATTAACCTAATTAATTTGTATCCTCTAATGGGATATTGATCGTCATATGATCAATTATTTTGTAGGTGGAACCGAAGGTGACAATAAAGGATGTGAGCTTCAAGAACATCAAGGGGACTTGTGCATCGCCATTGGCCATAGACATTTCGTGCAGCAGTGCTTCCTTCTGTAAAAATTTGGAGCTTGCTGATATTGATCTTAAGCCTGTTGGTACTGCCGCTGGGCCAACAGCACAAACCTTGAAATCTCAATGCACCAATGTTAAGGTCATAAAGTCTGGATTAGTTAGCCCAGATGGGTGTTAATTAATGATCAAAATTAATCAAGACAATGAATTAACCTTGTAATAGTACTTATTTGTGGCTTGATATTTGTAGTTCTTTTACTCTTTTTTTTGGCACAAAACAACAATGTGTGTAGCTAGTAAATTGTTTGATAACTCTATGAATTACACAACATAACATATTGATTAAGTAGTAGGGTATACATAAACCGTGGCGATTGTGGTCTTGTGATACATGATTCAGAAAGTCATATTTTTGTAGAGTTTGCTTTCATAGTTTGATTTTCACCCCCTGAATGATACGTGCATATACTAAAAGGGAAGTGGATTATACATCCCAAAGGATTCGAGTTGGCATGACTAACATGGAGGAACAATCTATGAATGTAACGCACCATAAGTTATAGTTATTAATATGATGTAACAATGCCGACAATTTCTAGGTGTGGTTACATCTCCATTAATTAGAGTTAACCCCAATCAAATTGCCGGTCAAGTGGAACGTGCACTAATTGCATATTTGACTTGACTTGATCTTAAGGATAAACGGATTTAAAGTTCTAAATGGTCCCTGCCGGCCATGCCATATAAAACTAGATAGAGAAAAGAAGAGAAAAATATGAGTAGGAACACACTACAATTTAAAATCCACCCGCTTTATTGAAATTTAGTCGTCATTTCTAATTTCAAGAATAGTTACTTGACGTTTCTCAAACAGATATTGGTTGATGATTAACAAAAATGGCAGAAACGGATTAAATGCAGAAGAATCGGGGACCGTCCTTCTACAATCAGCCGACCAGTAAATCTTGATTACTGTCTACATAACCCTATAAACGAATTCTCCTTACTCTAAAGAATGGTGAAGATGTTAGTACATTAGTCGATTACATGGACATCACAGTCGATCGAAGTTGTTCTTCAGAATCACGATAATTTTTACTTAGAATTGACCCATAATCATCATATAGATTATACAACTTATGGAAAGTGAAAGAAACCACTTAATTTGTCATTTTCCAAAAAGTGGAAATAATTGAATTGGTCTTGCAAGTTTGGATCATGCGTACTATTGCATAGTAAAGTGTAGATGTATGAAGCATAAATTTTCTTATGGAAAGAGTCTAGGTTGATACTTTTAATTATTTTTAATTATTCATATACAACTTTGGATTTTACTGATTGAAAAATTCATAGGTTGATACTATTCTATTTGTTTCGTGTTACCTCATTCACTTAGCTTTTACTCTTTATGTGTGTGACCCAGTAATGAGTGTACGTTCTTATTTGACCAAGTCTTCATAATACAATTTGATTAGACGATCTAAAACATCATTATTAGACATATATACAATGTATAACAATGTTCTACATAACAATAAATGAGAAAAAATCATTATTTAAATGAAATTATCGAATATTCACGAACTTTAAACTTGCTTTGGATTTGTGAGCATAAAATAGTTTGTTGTGTAATAGGCTTTTTTTTTTTCACAAGGAACAAGTTCAATAGGTTGACGAGGCAAAAGGCCTAACCTAGGGATGACAATGGGTCGGGTTTGAGGCGGATTATACTAAACCCATCCCCATACCCATTTTTAATTATCAAATTCATACCCTCCCCATTCCCATGCGGGGGAAGATTTTGCATCCCCATCGTCGCGGGTTTCGGATACCAGAGGGTATCCCCGCTCCGTACATTTGATTATAATTATAACTAAATTAACACACTTGAATTCAACAAAACATATAACTATTTGGTTGAAACATCAAACCTAATCAACGATGAACCTAATAAAGAACCACTGAAAAGCTTAATTAGATCATCCCATTCCTACAAAGTTCCATAAACAAAGTACCAATAAATAATCAAACACCAAATTATTCATCTCCAATACACCTACTAAACAATAAAAAAAAAAACCACACATAAAAGTCAAATTATACTCCAAAGTAGGGTTAGAAACGTGTTAGCCTGTTAAGAAATTAGGGTTGGTTTAACTATGTGAAATTAATCTTTTAGTCCTATTTTTTTTACAATAACCCTTAAGTCCTTTTGGTAGATTACATTACCGTAGTTATATTTTAAAATAATAAGACATAAACAATGACGGGGTGGATATGGGTATGGGTATGGGGCAGTGGCACTCAAATCCATCCCCGCCCCATCCCCACAATATTCTTTGCGGGTATTACCCGTATCCGCCCCATACCCAATCAATGCGGGGATTCCCCTCGTTGACCGGATTGGGTAGAGTCAGATACCCACAATTACGACTATAATTGCCATCCCTACCTAACCGTAGCCATCGCAGGTTCCCATTAGTGGAGGCAAAAAGAATCGATCCAAATTAAACAATAAGTTTGATGTGGCACAACTCTTTTAGAATTATCATGTTAACCAAGTCAACATGAAAAGCAAAGGATAATTGCTTTTATACACAATTAATTAAATTATAATTTGCCCATGTATTTCACTTAGGAAAACCATTGAAATGGTAAACAGTATAGTCACCATATATATAAAAGATTAGTAATGCGATAGTTTTTTAGTATATTATATAATACATGTTTGTTTATAATTTTCTACTTTGCAGGCTACATATATTGTTAATCCAACTGAGATGCTTTCATTTTATAAATTATCCCCAGACCCAAACTGGTTCATGTAATTTACTTTCTGCTGAAAAAAATAGATAGGACTATTTGAAAAATCTCGAACCAATTCAAGATTTGGTTTGGTATGGATCTTATATCACTAGAATTGGTTTGGTTTGGTTCATAGTTTGCATTATGGGTTGTTTTGATTTTTTGGTCTGGTTAAAACACAAATTACTGAACTAATTCTAACTGTGTATCCAGACAACTTCAAAATTCGTGTTATCAGGCATTTCCCTACATCGCAACAGAATCTAAGCCTCAGCCCTAATTTCGCAAATCACGTCCCTCCTTCCTCCACAGATCACACTTCACTAGAGAAAAAAGACGATCATGTCTCCATATGACATGACGTTAATATATATAACGTTAAAGTGGAAGTTAGGTTGCTCTAACTTTGTGTCTTTGTATTTGTTTGAATTCAGGCATTGCACATGCATGTTAGAATTCAGGTTTCAACTTTCAAGGCAAAAAAATGTTATTTCCCCAATTATTGGTTTAATGGACAGGACCCTCGAAAATGACTATAAACGTTATATATAACCATACTGCATCATTTTCCAACCCTAATTTACTTAGTTATCACAAGGTATAACCACTTCGTCTAGTATTGATACCAACAAACAACTATTGTTGAAATTGTGGTTTCAAACATTTGCAAAACAAGGGGTGGAAATTGTAATCCAAGATTAATTATTTCTGTACCGACATTACCACCATATAAGGTTCACTTACCATGTAATTAACTTGGTACACACTACTAAATAAACAGCAAACTAGAGTGAATAACTGCATGCCCCTTCCACTAACCCCATTTGGGTGCCATTTTTTATTGTTTCTTTGTTCATTTTGGCTTTTGGCTTCTCTTCCTTCTTCAACTATTTTTGACACAGTCAAAACTTCCCTTTCCTTCAAACCTCTCTCCCTCCAGGTTTGCATATAACAACCTTATTTGGTAGTGGAAATTGAAGACCAAGTTGAAGGAAATTTCCCTATATATCACCTCCCTACACAATTCTCCCTCTCCATTACCTTCCTTTCTAAAGAAATCCTTTATAATAATACCCAATACCCTCCAAACCCTTCTTCCATAAGTAGTTAAAACCTTCAAACTTTCCTTCTTCACAATTCAACCTTAATCCTTAAAACTTTCCTTCACCATTCAACCTAAATCCCATGCAACTTTGACACTCAAAGAAGGGGAAATTCAAAGAGAAGTCAGCAAGTCGTGCTTGAGATCTTGCCTCAGAGTTTCTTTTGTCAAAAAGAGAGGCACCCACAAACAAGGAGTATATATATAATGGTTCTTCTTTGGGGTTTCTCAGTCATTTCTCTTGCTCTTTACATCCTCAACAACATCCCCATCAAAGATTGCGGCAAGAAGGAGAAAGGGCTTCTTCTTCCTCATCATCCCCATCAAAGTGGTGGCAACAACAACAACAACAAGCCGATGACCATGAAGAAGAAGAAGAAGATCAGGCCGAGCAACCTCATCGTGCCGATCCAGAGCTACACGTGTGCGAAATCGGAGTTCGAGGAGCTGTACAAGAGGTCGGAGAGCAAGGAGCTCGAGGTTCGTGGGAAGAACTTCTGCCTGGCTAGCAAGAAAGGGAGAAGGGAAGTCATGGAAGATGGGTACGGAGTCGTCGCCGACATCCATCGAGACTCCAGGCAGGGTTTTTTCGCGGTGGTCGACGGGCACGGTGGCCGGGCGGCGATGGAGTACGTGGTGGAGAACTTGGGGAAGAACATAGTGGAAGCCATGGATTGTGACGAGGTGGCGATGGAGGAAGCAATTCGAAAAGGATATTCGGTTACAGACAAAGGGTTCCTTAGCCAGGTAAACTTAATTGTCCGATGCTTGTTGCTTTCATGTGTCCTTCCAAAGAAAGTCTTGATTTGGTGGAAATGGTCAGTCGTATGACTTGGTCTTCTAGTTGACAGAATAATATAACTAACTATTCATATGTCGGCATTTAGGGTGTTCACATCATTATATTCTTTGTCCCTTTTGATTGGGTAACTAAACTTTCTTTATGTGTGTGTTAGGTTACTAGCTAGCTAGTGTGAAATCAGTGTGTCCACATTAGGGCTTATTCGCGAGATTTTAATATCGATTATCGAAGTTCTAGTTTTACGCTTTGAATTAATAGTCGATCATTTGCTTACAATATTATGATCCAACACTTATATATAAGTTGGAACTCGATTTGTATTTGTTTCTAAGGCTGAATTTCTCATTGTTGATTCGTTATTGTTTTTTCCCTCCTTCCTTTATGCAGAAGGTTAGTAGTGGTGCTTGTGCGGCAAGTGTGATGATGAAAAATGGAGAGATGCACATAGCCAACGTGGGAGATTGCCGAGTAATCCTAAGCAGAAACGGAGTGGCCACTCCATTGACGGTCGATCATCGTCTGAACACTAGACAAGATGAGCGCCAACGTATTGAGAATTTGGTAAGATTAATTCTAACTATAAACCAACTAATCTATTGATATGTCAGGCATATAACCATGGAGGATATGACACAACATTAGTGCTAATTCTGGTACCTTTATATGATTGCAGGGCGGGTACGTGCACTGCGACAGAGTCCAAGGTTCCCTAGCCATCTCGAGGGCTATCGGGGACCACCATCTGAAGGAATGGGTCATCTCCGACCCCGAGATCACTAAGCTTCCAATCACCCCTGATTGCCAGTTCTTGATCATGGCTTCTGATGGCCTCTGGGACAAGGTTGGTGAGCAAGAGGCAGTGGATGAAGTCTCAAGGCATTATGATAACAACAATGGAGTACTGATGGAGTCATGCAAGAAGCTGGTTCAGTTGGCTTTCAGCAGAGGCAACTTGGATGATGCTACTGTTATGGTTATTAGTCTAGGGTGTTTCATGGACCCACAACCACCAATTTTGATCAACTAGTTGATGAGGAGTTACATAGTTAAGTAATCTTAGAGTCATTTCCAATGGATATATACCTAGCTAGCTAATGTCTTTGGAAATATCAAAGACAAAATGTTGGATCTATGTGTATTATATTTAGCATTTTCATATCATGTTAATTTACTTGCCTATGTACTTTGTTGCATTGTCAAATACATAATTAACGAGAAGAGTTTCTATCTATATGATATCATCAGTCTATATTTGTCAACTTCTATCAACGAATATTAAACTTGTAAGACTATGAAAAAACGTGGTAAAATCACAGGTAGAGCTTATCAATATCAATTTTGTGTGATAGTTTGTGTACCTTAATAATCAAGAGCTGAACCACACTACATAATAAAGTTATCCAAAGATATACATTCATCTCCAACATGTACAATAGGAAAAAAGCTATAAACTTAATAAAAGATTCCGTCCATAACTCAAAGTTACATCGTTATAACGAAAAGAGACATGTCTTGACATGTCTTAATAACTTTTGTTTCGATGCACCACTCTACATGTATTTTTTGATAAACCATTCAAAAAAACCATATTCTTAGTTTCAAATCCAATTATAATTATTAATGATGTTAAATTTATGGAAGAAAATCGGTTTTAAAAGTACTGAAGTCTACAGATATTAAACTTCAGGAATCTAATCTAATACAAGAACAAATATTGTTTGTAGTTTGAGCGAGATAAAATATAAAGGACTAAATTGTAATATATCTCCAAACTGTCGCTGATCTAGTGATCTTAGATTAGCTGAAACCCTAACGCCACAGTCGCAAGGTAACTGTCTAAAATCTTACTAAACGGCTAAGAAGTAAGAACCCTTCTCACGGCTGTCATCAATGGCGGACGGCGGCGGCGAAGAAGTCCAGGTCGTATCCTTGGGAGGCAAGGGCTCATCCCTTTCCTCCTCCTCCGTCAACGCCATCGCTGCCGGCCAAGCTCGACTCCGCATCGACTCTTCGGCGCTTGATAGGCTAACCACTCTGTCCCCTCCGCCGCAGTCTCTGAAAACATGCAGAATCCCGATCCCTGAAACATTAACCCCGGTCGAATGTCGAGCCTCACTCGTCGTCCTGCTCAACAAGCTCCTTCGCCACCCGAATCCTTCACAAATCCGCACCGTCCTCCCCAATCTGATCGCCGATGCCCTAAATTCGGATTCCGGCGTCGCGCCGAGTCTCGGGTCAGTTGAAGTAACGGAAGAGGAAGGGTTGGTGGTCCAGAACTCCTGTGCGGAGCTGTACGGCGTTTCCGCCGTTATCGACCACGAAGCAGCTGCTCTGGCGACTGTAGTCGACGCCGTGGCTGCATTGTCGTGCGAGGCGCTGAAAGGAAACGACTTGGCGTTCAATTCCACGGATTCTGGAGATGGACATGTTGACAAGGATGAGATTGGTGTCGCCAGTGATATGAAGTTGTTGCTCAGTGGATCGAAGATGGCGGGAAAGAATTCGATCCAGGCAATTTCAAAGATTCCTGAAGTTCACGGAGGATTGAGGCAGTTTGTGAAGTCAGTGCATTCGATGACGAGGGTCAAGCTGAATTCCTCTGTGAAAGCCGTGGATGGAGGGGAGAGGGAGGCGGTGGCGGCAAAGCTGCAACCTTTACCCGCCCTAAGGAATGTGGGGGCAAATAGTTTAAGCAGAGCGAAGCTGAATGTTGAAGCTGTAGGGATTGAAAGTTCTAGAACTGGTTTGCTTACTCTGTTTGAGGAGAAATGCCCTACAGAAATTGATTTGAGCAATGCTGCTAAGTTGGTTTCAGATTTGCTCTTCGAAGAGGATTATCCAGCATTCGTTCATGCATTGAATTGTTTGCTGGAGACTGTTTGGAATATTGTCTCGTGGGAGGTTGTGACGGCTTTTGTTGTTCTGGAGGGTGGAGATTTGGAGGGTGCGATGACTACTGAGGTGAATGGAGGGGATAAACCGGTGGACAAGAAGAGCGAGAAGAAGAAAAAGAAGGCGGTTCTGGGGAAAGGAACTAGCCTGACTGTGCAGTTGATTAAGGAATGGTTACAGAGAAAGGAAGTGGGATCTAGTGATGGTCAAACTGTGTTGGAGAAATGGGTGGAGGATGTGTTATTGTTTTTCAATCACAAGCGCCCTAAATTTGGGGAGTTAGTAACCACAGTTAAAGGAATAGTGGAAAGCAATGAAAGTAGAAGGCTTCCTAAGCTTCCTAAGGTAAAAAGAGTTCATTCCAACTTTGCAGTTGGATGTTTTGTTAGCTTCCTCAGTTGCCTGCTATCTTTCTTCGCTGTTTTTTGTTTCCTTTTTACCAATCTGCTAAAGCTTTTCTTCGTTGACAAAGTTGCAACCATTTTGACATTCTTGTTCTTTTCTTATGATTTGAAAAAACAGGGTACTCGTGACTTCTCTAAGGAGCAAATGACAATAAGAGAAAAAGCATTCTCTATTATTGCTGACGTCTTCAAGAGGCATGGTGCAACTGCTCTAGACACTCCAGTTTTTGAGTTGAGAGAGACTTTGATGGGGAAATATGGGGAGGATTCAAAGTTGGTTTATGATCTTGCTGACCAGGTATGCTGTGTTGTTATGATTATTTCCGAAGTACTCTTTTAGGGAAATATCGAGCTTGAAAGTTGGGGTTTTCCCTTGAGTCATTTAGTTTATCCCTTTAGAAGGAGATTCATCATGATTTCAATCTTAAGCTGATATGACTGTCTTGTGAATTTCACAGGGTGGGGAGCTATGTTCTTTGCGGTACGACTTAACTGTTCCATTTGCTCGGTATGTGGCTATGAATGGTATCACATCATTCAAAAGGTACCAGATAGCTAAAGTGTACAGAAGAGATAATCCAGCAAAAGGAAGATACCGCGAGTTTTATCAGTGTGATTTTGATATTGCTGGACAGTATGAAGAAATGGGACCGGATTTTGAGGTCATTAAAATTCTGACTGAATTACTCAATGAGCTAGATATTGGTGATTATGAGGTAATGCCTGCTATCTTGCTTGCACAACGCTGCCTCCATAATTAATATCTTGCTTGAACAAGTCCTGTTTGATGTAACTGGGAACAAGTCATTCATCTCCAGGTATTGAATTAAGCAATTGATCTTTCCCCCCTTCTTTGTTTTACTTTCAACAGGTCAAATTAAATCACCGGAAGTTGCTTGACGGCATGTTAGAAATATGTGGAGTGCCATCTGAAAAGTTCAGGACAATTTGTTCCAGCATTGACAAATTAGATAAACAATCATTTGAGCAAGTAAAAAAGGAAATGGTAAGACTTTCATCTCTTCAGCTAATGCTGGGGAGCTTTTGCATTGGGATTTTTATGATGATTCGTGATGCTATTCACTCACTGCAAATCTGCAATGTCTCTCAGGTCGAGGAAAAAGGTCTAAGTGCGGTGACTGCAGACAAAATTGGTACATTTGTGAAAGAAAGGGGATCCCCCAAGGAATTACTATTGAAGCTCAAACAAGAGGGCAGCGATTTTTTGCTGAATGCTTCTTCTAAACGTGCACTGGATGAATTGGATGTTCTTTTTGAAGCACTGGACCGTTCAAAGTGCATTAGCAAAGTTGTTTTTGACTTGAGCCTTGCCAGAGGGCTTGATTACTATACCGGAGTCATATACGAGGCTGTCTTCAAAGGAACTACACAAGTGCGTCCTTGTTATTGCTGTTTTGTTACTCCAACTTTGATCTGGGATTTTGTTCGTTAATAAGTCTGGTCAAATGTATCGATGCCTTTTAGGTTGGCTCGATTGCTGCTGGTGGTCGTTACGACAACCTTATCGGCATGTTTGGCACCAAGCAAGTCCCTGCTGTTGGAGTCAGCCTGGGGATCGAACGCGTGTTTGCTATAATGGAGCAGGTTCAGAAGGACAGGAACCAGGTAAGATGGTGAATGGAGTACCAAATATAGAAAACCTTCAGGCCATGTTTTTTGCAATTAATCAAACTCTGGGAATTAGAAAGCTAAAAATAAACGGGCTGTAGAGTGGTTCCGACTTTTGAGTTATCTGATGTTCCAAGTGATTAGGAGCTGCAATGTTGTTAGGTTGATATAGCAAAAATTGTCTATCTTATGACTACCATTAACGCCTAGCGCCAAGCATTAAGACCGAATTGAACTCTTGAAACCGATTCTCCTTATGGGGTCCATATTCTTAAGCTAGCTAAGAGTTAAAAGATCATTTGATAGGCGCTCATGTGGTTGTTTTTCCTTTTCTGTTTTGGCCATCGGTAGATTGTTCGTCCTACTGAAACCCAGGTTCAGCTGAGCATCCTTGGGGACAAAAGCAAGCTGCCTCTAGCTGCAGAGCTTGCTGGGGAGCTGTGGGACAGCAAAGTGAAAGCGGAGTACGTCGTTAACAAGAGGTCTGACAAACATATGGCCAGAGCCAAGGAATCAAAGGTACCGTGGATGGTCCTCGTTGGGGACAAGGAGCTCGAGAGTGGTACCGTGAAGCTGAAGAACATGGAAGCCAACATCGAGGAAGAGGTTCCGAGAGCTACGTTTGTTCAGGAATTGCAGAGACGGTTGAAGGAATGAACAATACATGCCCTAGTCAAAGCAGTGCTGCCGGTTTTGTTATTTTGGATGATATACTTGGTGTATTAGGATATAGAAAGGAGAGGGAACTAGGTACTACTATTGACAGAAGAGGATGACTTTTCTTCTCCCTTTTTTAAGTCATGGGTTTCTTGTGGAGAGGTGAACTAGTTTGGGCAAGGTGCGTTGTATTTGAGAATTCCGAATTTCACCCATCTAAAATCTTACGAATATTGTCCATTGTTTTCTTCTTTTGCTGGTTACCAAGGAATTCATTATGTCTTATGAGGCTAGGAAGAAGGAAAGTATCGTAAGACGGAATGTTATGCATACATGGATCATGGATGGAATCTGGCAGTTGCGACCTATGTTAGGAATCATATATTCTGTCCTCATTCTCCATTTCCCCATTTGCAATCTACCCCCCTTGGATTTTGATTCGATTCGATTCTATCTACACTTTCCCTGAACAATAAAGAGGTGGGCTCGTGCCCTAGTGGTGTTCAACTTTTGGAAATAGAAAAATAGTGACCTCAAAAGTGGGATAAGTACCAACCATAGACAAACAATTCAAACAAGTTGTTTTAACATGGAACCAAAACCATGGGTTCAAATACACTTGGAATGTTGAAAGTTCTCATTACTACAATCACATTACTGAACTCAGAAGTAACAACTCCTGCCACCTTCCCCACTCCTTGTCCTCCATCCATTCCCATTCCCATTCCCATTCCCAAAAGCGAAGAACAAACACCCACGTTCAGATCAGAAGGGAGGGTGTTCTACTTTCCCATTTCCCACCAGTTTGACCGTATAATAATCCCAGTCTCCCGCTCTCTCCCCCAGTTAATTAATTTAATTAATCTCTCCACCCTCGCCTCTGCATCTGCACTGCATATGGCTCACTCACTCACAACCTGCCTGTCACTGCTCTGTCAAAAAAGCATTTCAATTTTAAACAAACAAGTTGGACATCTCTATCTATCTATGCACATGCAATTACCTCATTATGACCGTCTTTACTCTCCTCCCAAGCTGCCTGCCTCGCTGTAAATGCAGCTGTGGGGTTTTTAACTTAGACAAGGACAACACCAAGAGAAAAAAACTCCACAGCTGCTCTTCTTGATGGGGAAGAAGGGAGGCAGCACTTCCTCTTGGTTGACTGCAGTGAAGAGGGCTTTCAGATCTCCCACCAAGGAATCCACCGATAACCGAAGAAGAGGCCAAAACCATGACCAAGACGTCGTCGACGATGAAGAAAAGGTATGCTGTTGTTTCTTTTTTTTTTTTTTTAGTTTTGGTTGGATTTTTCCATTTGGTGCTCAAATGGCTCCTCTGCCTGCAGAAACGAGAGAAGCGGAGATGGATATTCAGGAAACCCACCAGCCAAGAAGCTGCTGCACCAATCCAACAAAAGCCCACACCTCCACCCGCCGACCAGTCAGCAGCAGCAGCAGCTGAGCAGAGGCATGCCATCGCGGTGGCCGTAGCCACCGCAGCAGCTGCAGAAGCCGCCGTGGCCACTGCTCAGGCTGCTGTGGAGGTCGCCAGGCTTGCTAGGCCTAACTACCACGCCAGGGAGCACTATGCTGCCATTGTCATTCAAACCTCCTTTAGAGGATATCTGGTATAGCTAATAACAACCCATTTCCCCCCTTTTTCCTTTTCCTCCCTGATTTGATCTTCGAAAGTCTCATTAAATGGTGTTTGCTAATTGAAGGCGAGGAGGGCATTGAGAGCGCTGAAGGGGCTGGTGAAGTTGCAGGCACTCGTCAGGGGACACAACGTGAGGAAGCAAGCCAAGATGACATTGAGATGCATGCAAGCTCTGGTTCGAGTCCAAAGTCGAATCCTCGATCAAAGGATGCGCCTTTCCCACGAAGGCAGCCGGAAATCCACCTTCAGCGACACCACTAGCATTATCGAATCAAGATACTTGCAAGACCTCTCTGACCGGAAATCCATGGTACGCTTTACATCTTATAATGTCGTCCTTGTCATCAACATCGAATTTGATTCATTCTAAATCGAATCTGACCCTGAAACAGCAGTCCAGAGAAGGAAGCAGCAGCATTGCCGCTGACGATTGGGATGAGCGGCCGCACACCATTGAAGAAGTGAAGGCAATGCTTCAGCAGAGGAAAGATGCTGCCTTGAATCGCCAGAGGAACCTGTCTCAACAGGCGAAGATATGGAGGAATAGTGGCAGGAGTCCATCAGTAGGAAGCGAAGCAGAGCTCCAAGACAACAGACCACCGCAACAATGGCTGGATCGATGGATGGCAGCCAAGCCATGGGACAGCAGTAGAGCCAGAGCATCAACTGACCATAGAGATCCAATCAAGACCGTAGAAATGGACACGTCATCGCAGCCGTACACTTACCTGGCATCATCCAATAACAGCAGGAGACCGTCGAACCTAACCCACCAAAGACCCAGCTCTCCGGCGCGTCACAGATCCAACGAAATGCCGCCGTTTCACCATCAGAGTCCCATCGCGGTCACGCCTTCTCCGTCGCGGACCAGGCCGGTCCAGGTCCGGTCGGCGAGCCCCAGATCGTCGTGCTTCAGAGAAGATTACAGATCGAATTCGTCACAGACTCCCAGCCTCAGATCCAATTACCGCTACACCGGCAATTTGTCGAACCATCAACACGGATTGACAAGGAGCTCGAATTCCTCTGCCGCTTCCTCCGCCGTCGGCTCGCTGCCGAATTACATGGCGGCAACGGAATCAGCGAGGGCAAGGAGCGCGCCGAGGCAGAGACCTTCGACGCCGGAGCGGGACGGCGGGAACAGAGGACCCGGAGCCGGCGGGTGTGCGAAGAAGCGGCTGTCGTTCCCGGTCCCGGATCCACACTTGACTTCCGGACTGGGCCAGTACCCGTTGAGAAGCCCGAGCTTCAAGAGCGTGAGTAGCAGCGCGTATTACGGCGGGTTGGAGCAGCAGTCGAACTACTCGTCTTGCTATACGGAGAGCGTGATTGGGTGCGGCGGCGGAGGTGGAGGTGGCGGTGGCGAGGTTTCCCCTTCTTCCACAGGCGATCGCAGGCGGTGGTTAGGGTGACGTATTAGATCGAAGCTGGGTCGGGTCATGGATAACCCGTTGGTGAATTAACACGTTATTTTTATTACGATTATTGTTTGGGAACATCACTTGTAGTTAGCAATTAGCATGTAACCTTAATGGTGTGGATTTAATTTTGCTTAAATGCTGACTTCATAAGCATTATTCGATGATTGTGCATCTTGAGAGTATATTCTCGCAGCAGTTTTATGAGCATCATAGAGTCTGAATTGGATAGATGTGGCCATGTAGGAGCTCTCACATAATTAGGAATGACAATGGACAGGTCTGGGCGGGTTTTTTTGTACACTGATCCGTTCTATGACAGGTCGGGTAATTTATCACGGGTTGCAGGTTGGGGTAGGTCGACCCAATGGGTATGTAATTCATATGAAAAATATTAGAACTATTCATTATTTTTAGGTTAAATACACTAGTATATCCAAAACTTTCACGGTTGTGCCAATAATATCCAAATTTCCCGAAATACCACTTATATCCAATTCCTTCACATTCTTTAAAGGTGTTTTTGGATATACAAGTGTATTTAACCAAAAATATATTGAGAAATGGATAGATTTGGCAAAGAACAACTTTAAAACATGGATATAAGTGGTATTTCGGGAAATTTGGATATTATTGGCACAACCGTGAAAGTTTTGGATATACAAGTGTATTAAACCTTATTTTTATTATAAGATTAAGAAAACAAGCAATATTATGATAAATGTAGTTAAATTATTAGAGAAATTAATCTTTTCACTAATTTACAACTTTATTATAGCTAAATTATGATATAACAAAAGAAAATTCCTAAGTAATTTGACTAAGATTACATGTAATTTAGGCAAGACCGGGTCGAGAATGGGGTAGGTCAGGGCAAGTCCGGTCAATGAGAGTACTTATGCCCGCCCCGCCTACGGGGCGAGTCGGCCCCACCCAAAAAAGGCCAAACAAATCGGGTAAAACGGGTCAGGTCGAAATTGTCATCCCTACATTGCTACTTTGTGTTGGTTCATCGGTTGGTCATAAATGCTAGTAACACCTACAACAAGAAACTCATTATAATTTATCCAACACAGATGTTTGGCCAACTTTTTTGAAGGCTATTCTGAATTCTCCACTGATGTTGGAAACTATCCATGATAGATTTTGATCGTGTTTTCAAGACTATCCATAACATATTTTGGGCTATTTTTTATTATTATATTTTCATCGATTTTTCAAAAATTTCTACGATTTTTTTAAGGCTATTTTTCATTGATTTTGAAGGTCATACATTACAAATTTTGGCCAATTTTTTTAAGGCTATTCTTCAAAATATTTTAAAAACTATCCAACACAAATTTGGACCGATTTTTTTGAAGGCTATTATTCACTGATTTGAAGAAATCAATCTGATTTTGAAGACTATCCATTGTCGATTTTGAAAGATATCATTCACAGATTTTGTGCGATTTTGTTAAGGCTATTCTTCATCGATTCTCAATGATATTAATCACAGATTTTACTCAATTTTTTCGGATTGCTATCCTTCACCGATTTTGAAGGCTATCCATCAAAGATTTTGGCTGATTCTTGAAGGTTATTCCTCACCTATTTTGAAGGCTATCCATCATAGAATTTGACCAAATTTTTGAAGGCTATTATTCGACATGTTGAAGACTATCCGGAGCCATTTTGAAGGCTATCATTCACAGATTTTGTGCATTTTGTTAAGGCTATTCTTAACCGATTCTCAAGGATATCCATCATAGATTTTGATCAATATTTTTGAATTACTATTCTTCACCTTGGATTTTGAAAGGTACATATCACATATTAAACATAAGGCTATTATTCACTGAGGATTAAGTCTATTAAACACCGATTTGGGCGGATTTTTTCCGGAGCCATTTTGATAGAGTAAGGATATTATTTTCAAAACCTAACAATTAAGCTAATTTCAAGCTACACATTATCTGTATTGATTTTATGGTTGTAAGACAAGTGTCGAAAGAGTCTTTTCGGCTTTGGGTTGCATCAATAACAAGTTTAAGAACAAATATGTGATAAGTTCGTGAATAATTGTCTAATAAGAAATAGAGAGACAATTTTTTGAGCAGTGTAGACACCAAGTATATTCTACAATTATTTCCGAATATGAAATCCATAAGTGATCTGTAGCCTCCAGAATCGAAAGAAAATAGCATTTCAGAAAAATAGCCCGAAATCAGTAATGGTACCCCTTTGGAATCCGCCAAAAATTGACCCGGAATAAATTCGCCCAAACCGGTGCTTAATGGACTTAATCATCGTTGAATAATAGCCTCAGGCCGAATCCGTGACCTGTAGCCTTCAAAATCTAAAGACAATGGACTTTCGTCGCCCCTTAAACTACGAAAATGCCATCTGAAAATAAATTGGCCCAAATCGGTGCTTAATGGACTTATCATCCGTGGAGAATAGGATCAATAGACTTCATTATCGGTGGAGAATAGTTCGGCCTGATTCCGTGATCTGTAACCTCCAGAATCGAAAGAAAATTGCATTTCAGAAAAATCGCCCGAAATCTGTGATGGTACCCCTTTGGAATATGCCAAAAATTGACCCAGAATAAATCCGCCCAAATCGGTGCTTAATAGACTTAATCATCGTTGAAGAATAGCCTCATGCCAAATCCGTGACATGTAGTCTTCAAAATAAATAAAAAAGGCCTTTCGTCGACCCATAAACTACGAAAATGCCATACGAAAATAAATTGCCCAAATCGGTGATTAATGGACTTATCATCCGTGGATAATAGGATCAATAGACTTCATTATCGGTGGAGAATAGCCTCGGCGTGATTCCGTGATCTGTAACTTCCAGAATCGAAAGAAAATGGCATTTCGGAAAAATCGCCCGAAATTTGTGATGGTACCCCTTTGGAATCTGTCAAAAATTGACCCAGAATAAATCCGCCCAAATCGGTGCTTAATGGACTTAATCATCATTGAAGAATAGCCTCAGGCCGAATCCGTGACATGAAGCCTTCAAAATCCAAAGGAAATGGCCTTTCGTCGCCCCATATATTACGAAAATGCAATCACAAAATAAATTGGTCGAAATTGGTGCTAATAAACTTATCATCCGTGGAGAATAGGATCAATAGACTTCATTATCGGTGGAGAATAGCCTCGGCTTGATTCCGGGATCTGTAGCTTCCAGAATCGAAAGAAAATAGCATTTCGGAGAAATCGCCCGAAATTTGTGATGGTACCCGTTTGGAATCTTCCAAAAATTGCCCCAGAATAAATCCGCCCAAATAAGTGCTTAATGGACTTAATCATCGTTAAAGAATAGCCTCAGGCCGAATCCGTGACATGTAGCCTATAAAATCCAAAGAAAATGGCATTTCGTCGCCCCATAAATTACGAAAATGTCATCAGAAAATTAATTGACCCAAATCTGTGCTTAATGGACTTATCATCCGTGGAGAATATGATCTAGAGACTTCATTATCAGTGGAGAATAGCCTCGGCCTGATTCAGTGATCTGTAACCTCCAGAATCGAAAGAAAATGGCATTTCAAAAAAATCGCCCGAAATCTGTGATGGTACCCCTGTGGAATTTGCCAAAAATTGACCCAGAATAAATCCGCCAAAATCAGTGCTTAATGGACTTAATCATCGTTGAAGAATAGCCTCATGTCGAATCCATGACCTGTAGCCTTCATAATAAAAAAAGGCCTTTCGTCGCCACATAAATTACGAAAATGCCATAAGAAAATAAATTGGCCCAAATCGGTGCTTAATGGACTTATCAACCGTGGAGAATAGGATCAATAGACTTCATTATCGGTGGAAATAGCCTCGGACTGATTCCGTGATCTGTATCCTCCAGAATCAAAAGAAAATGGCAATTCGGAAAAATCGTCCAAAATCTGTGATGGTACCACTTTGGAATTTGCCAAAAATTGACCCGGAATAAATCCGCCAAAATCAGTGCTTAATGGACTTAATCATCGTTGAAGAATAGCCTCAGGGCGAATCCGTGACACGGAGCCTTCAAAATCCAAAGAAAATGGCCTTTCGTCGCACCATAAATTACGAAAATGCCATCCGAAAATAAATTGGCCCAAATCGGTGCTTAATGGATTTATCATCTGTGGAGAATAGGATCTAGAGACTTCATTATCGGTGGAGAATAGCCTCGGCCTGATTCCGTTATCTGTAGCCTCCAGAATCATAAGAAAATGGCATTTCTGAAAAATCGCCCGAAATCTGTGATGGTACCCCTTTGAAATCTGCCAAAAATTGACCCGGAATAAATCCTCCAAAATCGGGTCTTAATGAACTAAATCATCGTTGAAGAATAGCCTCATGCCGAATCCGTGATCTGTAGCCTTCAAAATCAAAGAAAATGGCCTCTCGTCGCCCCATAAATTACGAAAATGCCATCTGAAAATAAATTGGCCCAAATCGGTGCTTAATGGACTTATCATCTGTGGAGAATAGGATCTTTAGAATTCATTATAGGTGAAGAATAGCCTCGGCCCGATTCCGTTATCTGTAGCATCCAAAATCAAAAGAAAATGGCATTTCGGAAAAATCGCTCGAAATCTATGATAGTACCCTTTTCGAATCTACCAAAAATTGATCCAGAATAAATCCGCCCAAATTGGTTATTAATGGATTTAAACATCGTTGATGAATAGCCTCATGCTGAATCCGTGACATGTAGCCTTCAAAATTCAAAGAAAATGGCCTTTCGTCGCCCCATAAATTACGAAAATGCCATCCGAAAATAAATTGGCCCAAATCGGGGCTTAATGGACTTATCATCCGCGAAGAATAGGATCTAGAGACTTCATTATTGGTGGAGATTAGCCTCGGCCTGATTCCGTGAACTGTAGCCTCCAGAATCAAAATAAAATGGCATTTCGGAAAAATAGCCACAAATCTTTGATGGTACCACTTTGGAATATGCAAAAAATTGATCCGGATTAAATCCATCCAAATCGGTGCTTAATGGACTTAATCATCGTTGAAGAATAGCCTTAGGCCGAATCCGTGACCTGTAACCTTCAAATTCCAAAGAAAATGGCATTTCTTCACCCCATAAATTACGAAAATGTCATCGGAAAATAAATTGGCCCAAATCCGTGCTTAATGGATTTATCATCCGTGGAGAATAAGATCAATAGACTTCATTATCGGTGGAGAATAGCCACGGCCTAATTCCGTGATCTGTAGCCGCCAGAATCAAAAGAAAATGTCATTTTGGAAAAATCGCCCGAAATCTGTGATGGTACCCCTTTGGAATCTGCCAAAAATTGACCCGGAATAAATCCGCCCAAATTGGTGCTTAATGGACTTAATCATTGTTGAAAAATTGCCTCAGGCCGAATCCGTGACCTGTAACCTTCAAAATCAAAAGAAAATGACCTTGCGTTGCCCCATAAATTACGAAAATGCCATCCAAAAATAAATTGGCCTAAATCGTTGCTTAATGGACTTATCATCTGTGGAGAATAGGATCAATAGACTTCATTATCGGCGGAGAATAGCCTCGGCCTGATTCCGTGATCTGTAGCCTCTAGAGTCCAATGAAATGGCATTTCAGAAAATCGCTCGAAATCTGTGATGGTACCCCTGTGGAATCTGTCAAAAATTGACCCGGAATAAATCCGGCCAAATCACTGCTTAATGGACTTAATTATTATCGAAAAATAGCCTCAGGCTGAATCCGTGAACTGTAGCCTTCAAAATCCAAAGAAAATTGCCTTTTGTCGCCCCATAAATTACGAAAATGTCATCCGAAAATAAATTGCCCTAAATCGTTGCTTAATGGACTTATCATCCGTGGAGAATAGGATCAATAGACTTAATTGTCGGTGGAGACTAGCCTCGGCCTGATTCCGTGATCTGTATCCTCTAGAGTCCAATGAAATGGCATTTCGGAAAAATCGCTCGAAATCTGTGATGGTACTCCTTTGGAATCTGCCAAAAAATTGACCCTGAATAAATACGCCCAAATCGGTGCTTAATGGACTTATTCATTGTTGAAAAATAGCCTCAGGTCGAATCCGTGACCTGTAGCCTTCAAAATCCAAAGAAAATGGCCTTTCGTCGCCCCATAAATTACGAAAATGCCATCCGAAAATAAATTGGCCTAAATCGTTGATTAATGGACTTATCATCTGTGGAGAATAGGATCAATAGACTTCATTATCGGCGGAGAATAGCCTCTGCCTGATTCCGTGATCTGTAGCCTCTAGAGTCCAATGAAATGGCATTTCGGAAAATCGCTCGAAATCTGTGATGTTACCCCTTTGGAATCTGTCAAAAATTGACCCGGAATAAATCCGCCCAAATCACTGCTTAATGGACTTAATTATTATCGAAAAATAGCCTCAGGCTGAATCCGTGAACTATAGCCCTCAAAATCCAAAGAAAATTGCCTTTTGTCGCCCCATAAATTACGAAAATGTCATCCGAAAATAAATTGCCCTAAATCGTTGCTTAATGGACTTATCATCCGTGGAGAATAGGATCAATAGACTTCATTGTCGGTGGAGACTAGCCTCGGCCTGATTCCGTGATCTGTATCCTGTAGAGTCCAATGAAATGACATTTCGGAAAAATCGCTCGAAATCTGTGATGGTACCCCTTTGGAATCTGCCAAAAAATTGACCCGGAATAAATACGCCCAAATCGGTGCTTAATGGACTTATTCATTGTTGAAAAATAGCCTCAGGCCGAATCCGTGACCTGTAGCCTTCAAAATCCAAAGAAAATGGCCTTTCGTCGCCCCATAAATTACGAAAATGCCATCCGAAAATAAATTGTCTCAAATCGGCGCTTAATGGACTTATCATCTGTGGAGAATAGGATCAATAGACTTCATAATCGATGGGGAATAGCATCTGCCTGATTCCGTGATCTGTAGCCTCTAGAGTCCAATGAAATGGCATTTCGGAAAATCTGTGATGGTACCGCTTTGGAATTTGGAAAAAATTGATCCGGAATAAATCCGCCCAAATCGATGCTTAATTGACCTAATCATTGTTGAAAAATAGCCTCAGGCCGAATCCGTGACATGTAGCCTTCAAAATCCAAATAAAATGGCTTTTCGTTCGCCCCATAAATTACGAAAATGTCATCCGAAAATAAATTGGCCCTAATCGGTGCTTAATGGACTTATCATCCGTGGAGAATAGGATCAATAGACATCATTATCGGTGGAGAATAGCTGCGGCCTGATTCCGTGATCTATAGCCTCAAGAAGCGAAAGAAAATGGCATTATGGAAAAATCGCCCGAAATCTGTGATGGTACCCCTTTGGAATCTGCCAAAAATTGGCCCGAAATAAATCCGCCCAAATCGGTGCTTAATGGACTTAAGCATTGTTGAAAATTTGCCTCAGGCCGAATCCGTGACCTGTGGCCTTCAAAATCCAAAGAAAATGCCCTTTCGACGCCCCATAAATTATGAAAATGCCATCCGAAAATAAATTGGCCTAAATCGTTGCTTAATGGACTTATCATCCGTGGAGAATAGGATTAATAGACTTCATTGTCAGTGGAGAGTAGTGTCGGCCTGATTCCGTGATCTGTATCCGCCAGAATCCATTGAAAATGGCATTTCGGAAAAATCGCCGGAAATCTGTGATGGTACCCCATTTGGAATCTGCAGAAAATTGACCCGGAATAAATCCGCCCAAATCGGTGCTTAATGGACTTAGTCATCGTTGAAGAATAGCCTCAGGCTGAATCTGTGACCTGTAGCCTTCAAAATCCAAAAAAATGGCCTTTCGTCGCCTCATAAATTACGAAAATGCCATCCAAAAATAAATTGTCCCAAATCGGCGCTTAATGGACTTATCATTTGTGGAGAATAGGATCAATAGACTTCATTATCGATGGGGAATAGCATCTGCCTGATTCCGTGATCTGTAGCCTCAAGAAGCGAAAGAAAATGGCATTTCGGAAAATCGCCCGAAATCTGTGATGGTACCCCATTTGGAATCTGCCCAAAATTGACCCGGAATAAATCCGCCCAAATTGGTGCTTAATGGACTTAATCATTGTTGAAAAATGGCCTCAGGCCGAATCCGTGACTGTAACCTTCAAAATCAAAAGAAAATGACCTTTCGTCGCCCCATAAATTACGAAAATGCCATCCGAAAATAAATTGGCCTAAATCGTTGCTTAATGGACTTATCATCTGTGGAGAATATGATCAATAGACTTCATTATCGGTGGAGAATAGCCACGGCCTGATTCCGTGATCTGTAGCCTCTAGAGTCCAATGAAATGGCATTTCGGAAAATCGCTCGAAATCTGTGATGGTACCCCCTTTGGAATCTGTCAAAAATTGACCCGGAATAAATCCGCCCAAATCACTGCTTAATGGACTTAATCATTATAGAAAAATAGCCTCAGGCCGAATCCGTGAACTTTAGCCTTCAAAATCCAAAGAAAATTGCCTTTTGTCGCCCCATAAATTACGAAAATGTCATCCGAAAATAAATTGCCCTAAATCGTTGCTTAATGGACTTATCATCCGTGGAGAATAGGATCAATAGACTTCATTGTCGGTGGAGACTAGCCTCGGCCTGATTCCGTGATCTGTATCCTCTAGAGTCCAATGAAATGGCATTTCGGAAAAATCGCTCGAAATCTGTGATGGTACTCCTTTGGAATCTGCCAAAAAATTGACCCGGAATAAATACGCCCAAATCGGTGCTTAATGGACTTATTCATTGTTGAAAAATAGCCTCAGGCCGAATCCGTGACCTGTAGCCTTCCAAATCCAAAGAATGGCCTTTCGTCGCCCCATAAATTACGAAAATGCCATCCGAAAATAAATTGTCCCAAATCGGCGCTTAATGGACTTATCATCCGTGGAGAATAGGATCAATATACTTTATTACCGGTGAAGAATACCCGGCCTGATTCCGTGATCTGTAGACTCAAGAATCGAAAGAAAATGGCATGTCGGAAAAATCTCCCGAAATCTGTGATGGTACCCCTTTGGAATCTGCCAAAAATTGACCGAGAATAAATCCGCCCAAATCGGTGCTTAATGGACTTAATCATTGTTGAAAAATAGCGTCAGGCCGAATCCGCGACCTGTAGCTTTAAAAATCCAAAGAAAATGGCCTTTCGTTAGGCCCATAAATTACGAAAATGCCATCCGACAATAAATTGTCTCTAATCGGCGCTTAATGGACTTATCATCCGTGGAGAATAGGATCAATATACTTTATTATCGGTGGAGAATACCCTCGACCTGATTCCGTGATCTGTAGACTCAAGAATCGAAAGAAAATGGCATGTCGGAAAAATCTCCCGAAATCTGTGATGGTACCCCTTTGCAATCTGGAAAAAATTGACCCGGAATAAATCCGCCCAAATCGGTGCATAATTGACCTAATCATTGTTGAAAAATAGCCTCTGGCCGAATCTGTGACATGTAGCCTTCAAAATCCAAAGAAAATGGCTTTTCATCGCCCCATAAATTACGAAAATGCCATCCGAAAATAAATTGTCCCAAATCGGCGCTTAATGGACTTATCATCTGTGGAGAATAGGATCAATAGACTTCATTATCGATGGGGAATAGCATCTGCCTGATTCCGTGATCTGTAGCCTCTAGAGTCCAATGAAATGGCATTTCGGAAAATCGCTCTAAATCTGTGATGTTACCCCTTTAGAATCTGCCAAAAATTGACCCGGAATAAATCTGTCCAAATCGGTGCTTAATGGATTTAATCATTGTTGAAAAATTGCCTCAGGCCGAATCTGTGACCTGTAACTTTCAAAATCCAAACAAAATGACCTTTCGTCGCCCCATAAATTACGAAAATTCCATCCGAAAATAAATTGGCCTAAATCGTTGCTTGATGGACTTATCATCCATGGAGAATAGGATCAATAGACTTCATTGTCGGTGGAGACTAGCCTCGGCCTGATTCCGTGATCTGCATCCGCCAAAATCCATTCAAAATGGCATTTCGGAAAAATCGCCAGAAATCTGTGATGGTACCCATTTGGAATCTGCGCAAAATTGACCCGGAATAAATCCGCCCAAATCGGTGCTTAATGGACTTAATCATCGTTGAAGAATAGCCTCAGGCCGAATCCGTGACCTGTAACCTTCAAAATCCAAAGAAAATGGCCTTTCGTCGCACCATAAATTACGAAAATGCCATCCGAAAATAAATTGTCCCAAATCGGCGCTTAATGGACTTATCATCCGTGGAGAATAGGATCAATAGACTTCATTGTCAGTGGAGACTAGTGTCGGCCTGATTCCGTGATCTGCATCCGCCAGAATCCATTGAAAATGGCATTTCGGAAAAATCGCCGGAAATCTGTGATGGTACCCCATTTGGAATCTGCCGAAAATTGACCCGGAATAAATCCGCCCAAATCGGTGCTTAATGGACTTAATCATCATTGAAGAATAGCCTCAGGCTGAATCTGTGACCTGTAGCCTTCAAAATCCAAAGAAAATGGCCGTTCGTCGCCCCATAAATTACGAAAATGCCATCCGAAAATAAATTGTCCCAAATCGGCGCTTAATGGACTTATCATCTGTGGAGAATAGGATCAATAGACTTCATTATCGATGGGGAATAGCATCTGCCTGATTCCGTGATCTGTAGCCTCTAGAGTCCAATGAAATGGCATTTCGGAAAATCGCTCTAAATCTGTGATGTTACCCCTTTGGAATCTGCCAAAAATTGACCCGGAATAAATCTGCCCAAATCGGTGCTTAATGGATTTAATCATTGTTGAAAAATTGCCTCAGGCCGAATCTGTGACCTGTAACCTTCAAAATCCAAACAAAATGACCTTTCGTCGCCCCATAAATTACGAAAATTCCATCCGAAAATAAATTGGCCTAAATCGTTGCTTGATGGACTTATCATCCATGGAGAATAGGATCAATAGACTTCATTGTCGGTGGAGACTAGCCTCGGCCTGATTCCGTGATCTGCATCCGCCAGAATCCATTCAAAATGGCATTTCGGAAAAATCGCTAGAAATCAGTGATGGTACGTACCCCTTTGGAATCTGCCCAAAAGTGACCCGGAATAAATCCGCCCAAATCGGTGCTTAATGGACTTAATCATCGTTGAAGAATAGCCTCAGGCTGAATCTGTGACCTGTAGCCTTCAAAATCCAAAGAAAATGGCCTTTCATCGCCCCATAAATTACGAAAATGCCATCCGAAAATAAATTGTCCCAAATCGGCGCTTAATGGAATTATCATCCGTGGAGAATAGGATCAATATACTTTATTACCGGTGAAGAATACCCGGCCTGATTCCGTGATCTGTAGACTCAAGAATCGAAAGAAAATGGCATGTCGGAAAAATCTCCCGAAATCTATGATGGTACCCCTTTGGAATCTGCCAAAAATTGACCGAGAATAAATCCGCCCAAATCGGTGCTTAATGGACTTAATCATTGTTGAAAAATAGCGTCAGGCCGAATCCGCGACCTATAGCTTTAAAAATCCAAAGAAAATGGCCTTTCGTTCGGCCCATAAATTACGAAAATGCCATCAGAAAATAACTTGAGCCAAATCGGTGCTTAATGGACTTATCATCCGTGGAGAATAGGATCAATAGACTTCATTATCGGTGGAGAATAGCAGCGGCCTGATTCCGTGATCTGTAGCCTCAAGAATCGAAAGAAAATGGCATTTTGGAAAAATCGCCCGAAATCTGTGATGGTACCCCTTTGGAATCTGCCAAAAATTGACCCAGAATAAATCCGCCCAAATCGATGCTTAATGGACTTAATCATTTTTGAAAAATAGCCTCCGGCCGAATCAGTGACCTAAAGCCTTCAAAATCAAAGAAAATGCCCTTTCGTCGCCTCATAAATTACGAAAATGCCATCCGAAAATAAATTGGCCTAAATCGTTGCTTAATGGACTTATCATCCGTGGAGAATAGGATCAATATACTTCATTGTCGGTGGAGACTAGCCTCGGCCTGATTCCGTGATATTTATCAACCAGAATCCATTCAAAATGGCATTTTGGAAAAATCGCCCGAAATCTGTGATGGTACCCATTTGGAATATGCCAAAAATTGACCCGGAATAAATCCGCCCAAATTGGTGCTTAATGGACTTAATCATTGCTGAAAAATTGCCTAAGGCCGAATCCGTGACCTGTAAATTTCAAAATCCAAAGAAAATGACCCTTCGTCGCCCCATAAATTACGAAAATGCTATCCAAAAATAAATTGGCCTAAATCGTTGCTTAATGGACTTATCATCTGTGGAGAATAGGATCAATAGACTTCATTATCGGTGGAGAATAGCCTCGGCTTGATTCCGTGATCTGTAGCCTCTAGAGTCCAATGAAATGGCATTTCGGAAAATTGCTCGAAATCTGTGATGGTACCCCTTTGGAAAATGTCAAAAATTGACCCGGAATAAATCCCCCACATCACTGCTTAATGGACTTAATCATTGTGTAAAAACACCCTCAGGCTGAATCCGTGACCTGTAGCCTTCAAAATCCAAAGAAAATGGCCTTTCGTCTCCCCATAAATTACGAAAATGCCATCCGAAAATAAATTGTCCCAAATCGGTGCTTAATGGACTTATCATCCGTGGAGAATAGGATTAATATACTTTATTATCGGTGGAGAATAGCCTCAGCCTGATTCCGTGATCTGTAGCCTCAAGAATCGAAAGAAAATGGCATTTTGGAAAAATCGCCCGAAATCTGTGATGGTACCCCTTTGGAATCTGCCAAAAATTGACCCGGAATTAATCCGCCCAAATCAATGCTTAATAGACTTAATAATTGTTGAAAAATAGCCTCAAGGCGAATCCGTGACATGTAGCCTTCAAAATCCAAAGAAAATGCCCTTTCGTCAACCATTAATTACGAAAATGCCATCCGAAAATAAATTGGCCTAAATCGTTTGGACTTATCATCCGTGGAGAATAGGATCAATAGACTTCATTGTCGATGGAGACTTGCCTCGGCCTGATTCCGTGATCTGTATCTGCCAGAATCCACTGAAAATGGCATTTCGGAAAAATCGCCCGAAATCTGTGATGTTACCCCTTTGGAATCTGCCAAAAATTGACCCGGAATAAATCCGCCCAAATCGGTGCTTAATTGACTTAATCATTGTTGGAAAATAGCCTCAGGCCGAATCCGTGACATGTAGCCTTCAAAGTCCAAAGAAAATGGCCTTTCGTTCGCCTCATAAATTACGAAAATGCCATCCGAAAATAAATTAGCCAAAATCGGTGCTAAATGGACTTGTTATCCGTGGAGAATAGGATCAATAGACTTCATAATCGATGGAGAATAGCCTCGAACTGATTCCGTGATCTGTAGCCTTAAGAATAGAAAGAAAATGGCATTTCGGAAAAATCGCCCGAAATCTGTAATGGTACCCCTTTGGAATCTGCCAAAAATTGACCAGGAATAAATCCGCCCAAATAGGTGCTTAATGGACTTAATCATTGTTGAAAAATAGCCTCAGGCCGAATCCGTGACCTGTAACCTTCAAAATCCAAAGAAAATGACCTTTCGTCGTCCCTTAAATTACGAAAATGCCATCTGAAAATAAATTGGCCTAAATCGTTGCTTAATGGACTTATCATCCGTGGAGAATAGGATCAATAGACTTCATTGTCGGTGGAGACTAGCCTCGGCCTGATTCTGTGATCTGTATCCTGTATAGTCCAATGAAATGGCATTTCGGAAAAATCGCTCGAAATCAGTGATGGTACCCCTTTGGAATCTGCCAAAAAATTGACCCGAAACAAATACGCCCAAATCGGTGCTTAATGGACTTATTCATTGTTGAAAAATAGCCTCAGGCCGAATCCGTGACCTGTAGCCTTCCAAATCCAAAGAAAATGGCCTTTCGTCGCCCCATAAATTACGAAAATGCCATCCGAAAATAAATTGTCTCAAATCGGCGCTTGATGGACTTATCATCCGTGGAGAATAGGATCAATATACTTTATTATCGGTGGAGAATACCCTCGGACTGATTCCATGTTCTGTAGACTCAAGAATCGAAAGAAAATGGCATGTCGGAAAAATCTCCCGAAATCTCTGATGGTACCCCTTTGGAATCTGGAAAAAATTGACCCGGAATAAATCCGCCCAAATCGGTGCTTAATTGACCTAATCATTGTTGAAAAATAGCCTCTGGCCGAATCTGTGACATGTAGCCTTCAAAATCCAAATAAAATGGCTTTTCGTTCGCACCATAAATTAAGAAAATGCCATCCGAAAATAAATTAGCCCTAACCGGTGCTTAATGGACTTATCATCCCTGGAGAGTAGGATCAATAGACATCATTATCGGTGGAGAATAGCTGCGGCCTGATTCCGTGATCTATAGCCTCAAGAAGCGAAAGAAAATGGCATTTTGGAAAAATCGCCCGAAATCTGTGATGGTACCCCTTTGGAATCTGCCAAAAATTAACCGGGAATAAATCCGCCCAAATCGGTGCTTAATGGACTTAAGCATTGTTGAAAATTTGCCTCAGGCCGAATCCGTGACCAATAGCCTTCAAAATCCAAAGAAAATGCCCTTTCGACGCCCCATAAATTACGAAAATGCCATCCGAAAATAAATTGGCCTTAATCGTTGCTTAATGGACTTATCATCCGTGGAGAATAGGATCAATAGACTTCATTGTCAGTGGAGACTAGTGTCGGCCTGATTCCGTGATGTGTATCCGCCAGAATCCATTGAAAATTGCATTTCGGAAAAATCGCCAGAAATCTGTGATGGTACCCCATTGGGAATCTGCCAAAAATTGACCCCGAATAAATCCGCCCAAATCGGTGCTTAATGGACTTAATCATTGTTGAAAAATAACCTCAGGCCGAATCCGTGACATGTAGCCTTCAAAATCCAAAGAAAATGCCCTTTCGACGCCCCATAAATTACGAAAATGCCATCCGAAAATAAATTGGCCTTAATCGTTGCATAATGGACTTATCATCCGTGGAGAATAGGATCAATAGACTTCATTGTCAGTGGAGACTAGTGTCGGCCTGATTCCGTGATCTGTATCCGCGAGAATCCATTGAAAATTGCATTTCGGAAAAATCGCGAGAAATCTGTGATGGTACCCCATTTGGAATCTGCCAAAAATTGACCCCGAATAAATCCGCCCAAATCGGTGCTTAATGGACTTAATCATTGTTGAAAAATAACCTCAGGCCGAATCCGTGACATGTAGCCTTCAAAACCCAAAGAAAATGGCCTTTCGTTCGCCCTATAAATTACGAAAATGCCATCCGAAAATAAATTAGCCCAAATCGGTGCTTAATGGACTTGTTATCCATGCAGAATAGGATCAATTGACTTCATTATCGATGGAGAATAGCCTCGGCCTGATTCCGTGATCTCTTGTCTCAAGAAGCGAAATAAAATGGCATTTTGGAAAAATCGCCCGAAATCTGTGATGGTACCCATTTGGAATCTGCCAAAAATTGACCCGGAATAAATCCGCCCAAATTGGTGCTTAATGGACTTAATCATTGCTGAAAAATTGCCTCAGGCCGAATCCGTGACTGTAACCTTCAAAATCAAAAGAAAACGACCTTTCGTCGCCCCATAAATTACGAAAATGCTATCCAAAAATAAATTGGCCTAAATCGTTGCGTAATGGACTTATCATCTGTGGAGAATAGGATCAATAGACTTCATTATCGGTGGAGAATAGCCTCGGCTTGATTCCGTGATCTGTAGCCTCTAGAGTCCAATGAAATGGCATTTCGGAAAATTGCTCGAAATCTGTGATGGTACCCTTTTGGAAAATGTCAAAAATTGACCCGGAATAAATCCCCCACATCACTGCTTAATGGACTTAATCATTGTGTAAAAATAGCCTCAGGCTGAATCCGTGACCTGTAGCCTTCAAAATCTAAAGAAAATGGCCTTTCGTCTCCCCATAAATTACGAAAATGCCATCCGAAAATAAATTGTCCCAAATCGATGCTTAATGGACTTATCATCCGTGGAGAATAGGATCAATATACTTTATTATCGGTGGAGAATAGCCTCGGCCTGATTCCGTGATCTGTAGCCTCAAAAATCGAAAGAAAATGGCATTTTGGAAAAATCGCTCGAAATCTGTGATGGTACCCCTTTGGAATCTGCCAAAAATTGACCCGGAATTAATCCGCTCAAATCAATGCTTAATGGACTTAATAATTGTTGAAAAATAGCCTCAAGGCGAATCCGTGACATGTAGCCTTCAAAATCCAAAGAAAATGCCCTTTCGTCACCCCATAAATTACGAAAATGCCATCCGAAAATAAATTAGCCTAAATCGTTGCATAATGGACTTATCATCCGTGGAGAATAGGATCAATAGACTTCATTGTCGATGGAGACTAGCCTCGGCCTGATTCCGTGATCTGTATCTGCCAGAATCCACTGAAAATGGCATTTCGGAAAAATCGCCCGAAATCTGTGATGGTACCCCATTGGAATCTGCCAAAAATTGACCCGGAATAAATCCGCCCAAATCGGTGCTTAATTGACTTAATCATTGTTGGAAAATAGCCTCAGGCCGAATCCGTGACATGTAGCCTTCAAAGTCCAAAGAAAATGGCCTTTCGTTCGCCTCATAAATTACGAAAATGCCATCCGAAAATAAATTAGCCAAAATCGGTGCTAAATGGACTTGTTATCCGTGGAGAATAGGATCAATAGACTTCATAATCGATGGAGAATAGCCTCGAACTGATTCCGTGATCTGTAGCCTCAAGAATAGAAAGAAAATGGCATTTCGGAAAAATCGCCCGAAATCTGTAATGGTACCCCTTTGGAATCTGCCAAAAATTGACCAGGAATAAATCCGCCCAAATAGGTGCTTAATAGATTTAATCATGGTTGAAAAATAGCGTCAGGCCGAATCCGCGACCTGTAGCTTTAAAAATCCAAAGAAAATGGCCTTTCGTTCGGCCCAAAAATTACGAAAATGCCATCTGAAAATAAATTGGCCCAAATCGGTGCTTAATGGACTTATCATCCGTGGAGAATAGGATCAATAGACTTCTTTATCGGTGGAGAATAGTTGTGGCCTGATTCCGTGATCTGTAGCCTCAATAGTCGAAAGAAAATGGCATTTTGGAAAAATTGCCCGAAATCTGTGATGGTACCCCTTGGAACCTGCCAAAAATAGACATGGAATAAATCCGCCCAAATCGATGCTTAATGGACTTAATCATTGTTGAAAAATAGCCTCAGGCCGAATACGTGACCTGTAACCTTCAAAATCCAAAGAAAATGACCTTTCGTCGCCCCTTAAATTACGAAAATGCCATCCGAAAATAAATTGGCCAAAATCGTTGCTTAATGGACTTATCATCCGTGGAGAATAGGATCAATAGACTTCATTGTCGGTGGAGACTAGCCTCGGCCTGATTCCGTGATCTGTATCCTCTAGAGTCCAATGAAATGGCATTTCGGAAAAATCGCTCGAAATCTGTGATGGTACCCCTTTGGAATCTGCCAAAAAATTGACCCGGAATAAATACGCCCAAATCGGTGCTTAATGGACTTATTCATTGTTGAAAAATATCCTCAGGCCGAATCCGTGACCTGTAGCCTTCCAAATCCAAAGAAAATGGCCTTTCGTCGCCCCATAAATTACGAAAATGCCATCCGAAAATAAATTGTCTCAAATCGGCGCTTGATGGACTTATCATCCGTGGAGAATAGAATCAATATACTTTATTATCGGTGGAGAATACCCTCGGCCTGATTCCGTGTTCTGTAGACTCAAGAATCGAAAGAAAATGGCATGTCGGAAAAATCTCCCGAAATCTGTGATGGTACCCCTTTGGAATCTGGAAAAAATTGACCCGGAATAAATCCGCCCAAATCGGTGCTTAATTGACCTAATAATTGTTGAAAAATAGCCTCTGGCCGAATCCGTGACATGTAGCCTTCAAAATCCAAATAAAATGGCTTTTCGTTCGCACCATAAATTACGAAAATGCCATCCGAAAATAAATTGGCCCTAATCGGTGCTTAATGTACTTATCATCCGTGGAGAATAGGATCAATAGACATCATTATCGGTGGAGAATAGTTGCGGCCTGATTCCGTGATCTATAGCCTCAAGAAGCGAAAGTAAATGGCATTTTGGAAAAATCGGCCGAAATCTGTGATGGTACCCCTTTGGAATCTGCCAAAAATTAACCGGGAATAAATCCGCCCAAATCGGTGCTTAATGGACTTAAGCATTGTTGAAAATTTGCCTCAGGCCGAATCCGTGACCTGTAGCCTTCAAAATCCAAAGAAAATGGCCTTTCGACGCCCCATAAATTACGAAAATGCCATCCGAAAATAAATTGGCCTTAATCGTTGCTTAATGGACTTATCATCCGTGGAGAATAGGATCAATAGACTTCATTGTGAGTGGAGACTAGTGTGGCCTGATTACGTGATCTGTATCCGCCAGAATCCATTGAAAATGGCATTTCGGAAAAATCGCCAGAAATCTGTACCCCATTGGGAATCTGCCAAAAATTGACCCCGAATAAATCCGCCCAAATCGGTGCTTAATGGACTTAATCATTGTTGAAAAATAGCCTCAGGCCGAATCCGTGACATGTAGCCTTCAAAATCCAAAGAAAATGGCCTTTCGTTCGCCCTATAAATTACGAAAATGCCATCCGAAAATAAATTAGCCCAAATCGGTGCTTAATGGACTTGTTATCCGTGGAGAATAGGATCAATTGACTTCATTATCGATGGAGAATAGCCTCGGCCTGATTCCGTGATCTCTTGCCTCAAGAAGCGAAATAAAATGGCATTTTGGAAAAATCGCCTGAAATCTTAGATGGTACCCATTTGGAATCTGCCAAAAATTGACCCGGAATAAATCCGCCCAAATTGGTGCTTAATGGACTTAATCATTGCTGAAAAATTGCCTCAGGCCGAATCCGTGACCTGTAAATTTCAAAATCCAAAGAAAATGACCTTTCGTCGCCCCATAAATTACGAAAATGCTATCCAAAAATTAATTGGCCTAAATCGTTGCTTAATGGACTTATCATCTGTGGAGAATAGGATCAATAGAATTCATTATCGGTGGAGAATAGCCTCGGCTTGATTCTGTGATCTGTAGCCTCTAGAGTCCAATGAAATGGCATTTCGGAAAATCGCTCGAAAATTGACCCGGAATCTGTAGCCCCATTGGAATCTGTCCAAAATTGACCCGGAATAAATCCGCCCAAATCACTGCTTAATGGACTTAATCATTATTGAAAAATAGCCTCAAGCCGAATCCGTGACCTGTAGCCTTCAAAATCCAAAGAAAATGGCCTTTCGTCGCCCCATAAATTACGAAAATGTCATCCGAAAATAAATTGGCCTAAATCGTTGCTTAATAGACTTATCATCCGTGGAGAATAGGATCAATAAACTTCATTGTTGGTGGAGACTAGCCTCGGCCTGATTCCGTGATCTGTATCCTCTAGAGTCCAATGAAATGACATTTCGGAAAAATCGCTCGAAATCTGTGATGGTACCTCTTTGGAATCTGCCAAAAATTGACCCGGAATAAATCCGCCCAAATCGGTGCTTAATGGACTTATTCATTGTTGAAAAATAGCCTCAGGCCGAATCCATGACCTGTAGCCTTCAAAATCCAAAGAAAATGGCCTTTCGTCGCCCCATAAATTACGAAAATGCCATCCGAAAATAAATTGGCCTAAATCGTTGCTTAATAAACTTATCATCCGTGGAGAATAGGATCAATAGACTTCATTGTTGGGGGAGGCTAGCCTCGGCCTGATTCCGTGATCTGTATCCACCAGAATCCATTCAAAATAGCATTTCGGAAAAATCGCACAAAATCTGTAATGGTACCCCTTTGGAATCTGCCAAAAATTGACAAGGAATAAATCCGCCACAATAGGTGCTTAATAGACTTAATCATTGTTGCAAAATAGCTTCCGGCCGAATCCGCGACCTGTAGCTTTCAAAATCCAAAGAAAATGGCCTTTCGTTCGGCCCATAAATTATGAAAATGCCATACGAAAATAAATTGGCCCAAATTGGTGCTTAATGGACTTATCATCCGTGGAGAATAGGACCAATAGACTTCATTATCGGTGGAGAATAGCTGCGGCCTGATTCCGTGATCTGTAGCCTCAAGAATCGAAAGAAAATGGCATTTTGGAAAAATCACCCTAAATCTGTGATGGTACCCCTTTGGAATCTGCCAAAAATTGACTCGGAATAAATCCGCCCAAATCGGTGCTTAATGAACTTAAGCATCGTTGAAGAATAGCCTCAGGTCGAATCCATGACCTGTAGCTTTCAAAATCCATAGAAAATGGCCTATCAATGCCCCATAAATTATGAAAATGCCATTCCAAAATAAATTGGCGCAAATCGGTGCTTAATGGACTTATCATCCGTGGAGAATAGGATCGGTAGACTTCATTGTCGGTGGAGAATAGCCTCGGCCTGATTCCTTGATCTGTATCCTCAAGAATCTAACGAAAATGGCATTTCGGAAAAATCGCCCGAAATCAGTGATGGTACCCCTATGGAATCTGCCAAAAATTGACCAGGAATAAATCCGCCAGAATAGGTGCTTAATGGACTTAATCATTGTTAAAAAATAGTTTCAGGCCGAATCCGCAACCTGTAGCTTTCAAAATCAAAAGAAAATGGCCTTTCGTTCGGCCCATAAATTACGAAAATGCCATCCGAAAATAAATTGACCCAAATTGGTGCTTAATGTACTTATCATACATTGAGAATAGGATCAATAGACTACATTTTCGGTGGAGAATAGCTGCGGCCTGATTCCGTGATCTGTAGCCTCAAGAATCAAAAGAAAATGGCATTTTGGAAAAATCGCCCGAAATCTGTGATGGTACCCCTTTGGAATCTGCCAAAAATTAACCCAGAATAAATCCGCCCAAATCGATGCTTAATGGACTTAATCATTTTTGAAAAATAGCCTGCGGCCGAATCAGTGACCTGAAGCCTTCAAAATCAAAGAAAATGCCCTTTCGTCGCCTCATAAATTACGAAAATGCCATCCGAAAATAAATTGGCCTAAATCGTTGCTTAATGGACTTATCATCCGTGGAGAATAGGATCAATATACTTCATTGTCGGTGGAGACTAGCCTCGGACTGATTCCGTGATATTTATCAACCAGAATCCATTCAAAATGGCATTTTGGAAAAATCGCCCGAAATCTGTGATGGTACCCATTTGGAATCTGCCAAAAATTGATCCGGAATAAACCGCCCAAATTGGTGCTTAATGGACTTAATCATTGCTGAAATATTGCCTCAGGCCGAATCCGTGACCTGAAAATTTCAAAATCCAAAGAAAATGACCTTTCGTCGCCCCATAAATTACGAAAATGCTATCCAAAAATAAATTGGCCTAAATCGTTGCGTAATGGACTTATCATCTGTGGAGAATAGGATCAATAGACTTCATTATCGGTGGAGAATAGCCTCGGCTTGATTCCGTGATCTGTAGCCTCTAGAGTCCAATGAAATGGCATTTCGGAAAATTGCTCGAAATCTGTGATGGTACCCTTTTGGAAAATGTCAAAAATTGACCCGGAATAAATCCCCCCCATCACTGCTTAATGGACTTAATCATTGTGTAAAAATAGCCTCAGGCTGAATCCGTGACCTGTAGCCTTCAAAATCTAAAGAAAATGGCCTTTCGTCTCCCCATAAATTACGAAAATGCCATCCGAAAATAAATTGTCCCAAATCGATGCTTAATGGACTTATCATCCGTGGAGAATAGGATCAATATACTTTATTATCGGTGGAGAATAGCCTCGGCCTGATTCCGTGATCTGTAGCCTCAAAAATCGAAAGAAAATGGCATTTTGGAAAAATCGCTCGAAATCTGTGATGGTACCCCTTTGGAATCTGCCAAAAATTGACCCGGAATTAATCCGCCCAAATCAATGCTTAATGGACTTAATAATTGTTGAAAAATAGCCTCAAGGCGAATCCGTGACATGTAGCCTTCAAAATCCAAAGAAAATGCCCTTTCGTCACCCCATAAATTACGAAAATGCCAACCGAAAATAAATTAGCCTAAATCGTTGCATAATGGACTTATCATCCGTGGAGAATAGGATCAATAGACTTCATTGTCGATGGAGACTAGCCTCGGCCTGATTCCGTGATCTGTATCTGCCAGAATCCACTGAAAATGGCATTTCGGAAAAATCGCCCGAAATCTGTGATGGTACCCCATTGGAATCTGCCAAAAATTGACCCGGAATAAATCCGCCCAAATCGGTGCTTAATTGACTTAATCATTGTTGGAAAATAGCCTCAGGCCGAATCCGTGACATGTAGCCTTCAAAGTCAAAAGAAAATGGCCTTTCGTTCGCCTCATAAATTACGAAAATGCCATCCGAAAATAAATTAGCCAAAATCGGTGCTAAATGGACTTGTTATCCGTGGAGAATAGGATCAATAGACTTCATAATCGATGGAGAATAGCCTCGAACTGATTCCGTGATCTGTAGCCTCAAGAATAGAAAGAAAATGGCATTTCGGAAAAATCGCCCGAAATCTGTAATGGTACCCCTTTGGAATCTGCCAAAAATTGACCAGGAATAAATCCGCCCAAATAGGTGCTTAATAGACTTAATCATTGTTGAAAAATAGCGTCAGGCCGAATCCGCGACCTGTAGCTTTAAAAATCCAAAGAAAATGGCCTTTCGTTCGGCCCAAAAATTACGAAAATGCCATCTGAAAATAAATTGGCCCAAATCGGTGCTTAATGGACTTATCATCCGTGGAGAATAGGATCAATAGACTTCTTTATCAGTGGAGAATAGTTGTGGCTTGATTCCGTGATCTGTAGCCTCAATAGTCGAAAGAAAATGGCATTTTGGAAAAATTGCCCGAAATCTGTGATGGTACCCCTTGGAACCTGCCAAAAATAGACATGGAATAAATCCGCCCAAATCGATGCTTAATGGACTTAATCATTGTTGAAAAATAGCCTCAGGCCGAATACGTGACCTGTAACCTTCAAAATCCAAAGAAAATGACCTTTCGTCGCCCCTTAAATTACGAAAATGCCATCCGAAAATAAATTGGCCAGAATCGTTGCTTAATGGACTTATCATCCGTGGAGAATAGGATCAATAGACTTCATTGTCGGTGGAGACTAGCCTCGGCCTGATTCCGTGATCTGTATCCTCTAGAGTCCAATGAAATGGCATTTCGGAAAAATCGCTCGAAATCTGTGATGGTACCCCTTTGGAATCTGCCAAAAATGTGACCCGGAATAAATACGCCCAAATCGGTGCTTAATGGACTTATTCATTGTTGAAAAATAGCCTCAGGCCGAATCCGTGACCTGTAGCCTTCCAAATCCAAAGAAAATGGCCTTTCGTCGCCCCATAAATTACGAAAATGCCATCCGAAAATAAATTGTCTCAAATCGGCGCTTGATGGACTTATCATCCGTGGAGAATAGAATCAATATACTTTATTATCGGTGGAGAATACCCTCGGCCTGATTCCGTGTTCTGTAGACTCAAGAATCGAAAGAAAATGGCATGTCGGAAAAATCTCCCGAAATCTGTGATGGTACCCCTTTGGAATCTGGAAAAAATTGACCCGGAATAAATCCGCCCAAATCGGTGCTTAATTGACCTAATAATTGTTGAAAAATAGCCTCTGGCCGAATCCGTGACATGTAGCCTTCAAAATCCAAATAAAATGGCTTTTCGTTCGCACCATAAATTACGAAAATGCCATCCGAAAATAAATTGGCCCTAATCGGTGCTTAATGTACTTATCATCCGTGGAGAATAGGATCAATAGACATCATTATCGGTGGAGAATAGTTGCGGCCTGATTCCGTGATCTATAGCCTCAAGAAGCGAAAGTAAATGGCATTTTGGAAAAATCGGCCGAAATCTGTGATGGTACCCCTTTGGAATCTGCCAAAAATTAACCGGGAATAAATCCGCCCAAATCGGTGCTTAATGGACTTAAGCATTGTTGAAAATTTGCCTCAGGCCGAATCCGTGACCTGTAGCCTTCAAAATCCAAAGAAAATGGCCTTTCGACGCCCCATAAATTACGAAAATGCCATCCGAAAATAAATTGGCCTTAATCGTTGCTTAATGGACTTATCATCCGTGGAGAATAGGATCAATAGACTTCATTGTGAGTGGAGACTAGTGTGGCCTGATTACGTGATCTGTATCCGCCAGAATCCATTGAAAATGGCATTTCGGAAAAATCGCCAGAAATCTGTACCCCATTGGGAATCTGCCAAAAATTGACCCCGAATAAATCCGCCCAAATCGGTGCTTAATGGACTTAATCATTGTTGAAAAATAGCCTCAGGCCGAATCCGTGACATGTAGCCTTCAAAATCCAAAGAAAATGGCCTTTCGTTCGCCCTATAAATTACGAAAATGCCATCCGAAAATAAATTAGCCCAAATCGGTGCTTAATGGACTTGTTATCCGTGGAGAATAGGATCAATTGACTTCATTATCGATGGAGAATAGCCTCGGCCTGATTCCGTGATCTCTTGCCTCAAGAAGCGAAATAAAATGGCATTTTGGAAAAATCGCCTGAAATCTTAGATGGTACCCATTTGGAATCTGCCAAAAATTGACCCGGAATAAATCCGCCCAAATTGGTGCTTAATGGACTTAATCATTGCTGAAAAATTGCCTCAGGCCGAATCCGTGACCTGTAAATTTCAAAATCCAAAGAAAATGACCTTTCGTCGCCCCATAAATTACGAAAATGCTATCCAAAAATAAATTGGCCTAAATCGTTGCTTAATGGACTTATCATCTGTGGAGAATAGGATCAATAGAATTCATTATCGGTGGAGAATAGCCTCGGCTTGATTCTGTGATCTGTAGCCTCTAGAGTCCAATGAAATGGCATTTCGGAAAATCGCTCGAAAAAATTGACCCGGAATCTGTAGCCCCTTTGGAATCTGTCCAAAATTTACCCGGAATAAATCCGCCCAAATCACTGCTTAATGGACTTAATCATTATTGAAAAATAGCCTCAAGCCGAATCCGTGACCTGTAGCCTTCAAAATCCAAAGAAAATGGCCTTTCGTCGCCCCATAAATTACGAAAATGTCATCCGAAAATAAATTGGCCTAAATCGTTGCTTAATAGACTTATCATCCGTGGAGAATAGGATCAATAAACTTCATTGTTGGTGGAGACTAGCCTCGGCCTGATTCCGTGATCTGTATCCTCTAGAGTCCAATGAAATGACATTTCGGAAAAATCGCTCGAAATCTGTGATGGTACCTCTTTGGAATCTGCCAAAAATTGACCCAGAATAAATCCGCCCAAATCGGTGCTTAATGGACTTATTCATTGTTGAAAAATAGCCTCAGGCCGAATCCATGACCTGTAGCCTTCAAAATCCAAAGAAAATGGCCTTTCGTCGCCCCATAAATTACGAAAATGCCATCCGAAAATAAATTGGCCTAAATCGTTGCTTAATGAACTTATCATCCGTGGAGAATAGGATCAATAGACTTCATTGTTGGGGGAGGCTAGCCTCGGCCTGATTCCGTGATCTGTATCCACCAGAATCCATTCAAAATAGCATTTCGGAAAAATCGCACAAAATCTGTAATGGTACCCCTTTGGAATCTGCCAAAAATGGACAAGGAATAAATCCGCCACAATAGGTGCTTAATAGACTTAATCATTGTTGAAAAATAGCTTCCGACCGAATCCGCGACCTGTAGCTTTCAAAATCCAAAGAAAATGGCCTTTCGTTCGGCACATAAATTACGAAAATGCCATACGAAAATAAATTGGCCCAAATTGGTGCTTAATGGACTTATCATCCATGGAGAATAGGACCAATAGACTTCATTATCGGTGGAGAATAGCTGCGGCCTGATTCCGTGATCTGTAGCCTCAAGAATCGAAAGAAAATGGCATTTTGGAAAAATCACCCTAAATCTGTGATGGTACCCCTTTGGAATCTGCCAAAAATTGACCCGGAATAAATCCGCCCAAATTGGTGCTTAATGAACTTAAGCATCGTTGAAGAATAGCCTCAGGTCGAATCCATGACCTGTAGCTTTCAAAATCCATAGAAAATGGCCTTTCAATGCCCCATAAATTATGAAAATGCCATTCCAAAATAAATTGGCGCAAATCGGTGCTTAATGGACTTATCATCCGTGGAGAATAGGATCGGTAGACTTCATTGTCGGTGGAGAATAGCCTCGGCCTGATTCCTTGATCTGTATCCTCAAGAATCTAACGAAAATGGCATTTCGGAAAAATCGCCCAAAGTCAGTGATGGTACCCCTATGGAATCTGCCAAAAATTGACCAGGAATAAATCCGCCAGAATAGGTGCTTAATGGACTTAATCATTGTTAAAAAATAGTTTCAGGCCGAATCCGCGACCTGTAGCTTTCAAAATCAAAAGAAAATGGCCTTTCGTTCGGCCCATAAATTACGAAAATGCCATCCGAAAATAAATTGACCCAAATTGGTGCTTAATGGACTTATCATCCATTGAGAATAGGATCAATAGACTACATTTTCGGTGGAGAATAGCTGCGGCCTGATTCCGTGATCTGTAGCCTCAAGAATCAAAAGAAAATGGCATTTTGGAAAAATCGCCCGAAATCTGTGATGGTACCCCTTTGGAATCTGCCAAAAATTGACCCGGAATAAATCCGCCCAAATCGATGCTTAACGGACTTCATCATTGTTGAAAAATAGTCTCAGGCCGATTCCGTGGCCTGTAGCCTTCATAATCCAAAGAAAATGCCCTTTCGTCGCACCATAAATTACGAAAATGCCATCCGATAATAAATTGGCCTAAATCGTTGCTTAATGTTCTTATCATCCGTGGTGAAGAGGATCAATAGAGTTCATTGTCGGTGGAGACTAGCCTCGGCTTGATTCCGTGATCTGTATCTTCAAGAATCCAACGAAAATGGCATTTCGGAAAAATCGCCCGAAATCAGTAATGGTACCCCTATGGAATCTGCCAAAAATTGACCAGGAATAAATCCGCCCAAATAGGTGCTTAAAGGACTTAATCATTGTTGAAAAATAGTTTCAGGCCGAATCCGCGACCTGTAGCTTTCAAAATCCAAAGAAAATGGCCTTTCTTTAGGCCCATAAATTATGAAAATGTCATTCGAAAATAAATTGGCCCAGTCAGTGCTTAATGGACTTATCACCCGTGGAGAATAGGATCAATAGACTTCATTTTCGGTGGAGAATAGCCTCGGCCTGATTCCGTAATCTGTATCCTCAAGAATCCAATGAAAATGGCATTTCGGAAAAATCGCCCGAAAGCTGTGATGGTACCCCTTTGGAATCTGCCAAAAATTGACCAGGAATAAATACTCCCAAATAGGTGCTTAATGAAATTAATCATTGTTAAAAAATAGCTTCAGGCCGAATCCGCGACCCGTAGCTTGCAAAATCAAAAGAAAATGGCCTTTCGTTCGGCCCATAAATTACGAAAATGCCATCCGAAAATAAATTGGCCCAAATTGGTGCTTAATGGACTTATCATCCGTGGAGAATAGGACCAATAGACTTCATTATCGGTGGAGAATAGCTGCGGCCTGATTCCGTGATGTGTAGCCTCAAGAATCGAAAGAAAATGGCATTTTGGAAAAATCACTCGAAATCTGTGATGGTACCTCTTTGGAATCTGCCAAAAATTGGCCAGGAATAAATCCGCCCAAATCGGTGCTTAATGAACTTAAGCATCATTGAAGAATAGCCTCAGGTCGAATCCTTGACCTGTAGCTTTCGAAATCCATAGAAAATGGCCTTTCATCGTCCCATAAATTACGAAAATGCCATTCGAAAATAAATTGGCCCAAATCGGTGCTTAATGGACTTATCATTCGTGGAGAATAGGATCAGTAGACTTCATTGTCGGTGGAGAATAGCCTCGGCCTGATTCCTTGATCTGTATCCTCAAGAATCCAACGAAAATGGCATTTCGGAAAAATCGCCTGAAATCAGTGATGGTACCCCTATGGAATCTGCCAAAAATTGACCAGGAATAAATCCTCCCAAATAGGTGCTTAATGGAATTAATCATTGTTGAAAAATAGCTTCAGGCCGAATCCGCGACCTGTAGCTTTCAAAATCCAAAGAAAATGGCTTTTCGTTCGGCCCATAAATTACGAAAATGCCATCCGAAAATAAATTGACCCAAATCGGTGCTTAATGAACTTATCATCCGTGGAGAATAGGATCAGTAGACTTCATTATCGGTGGAGAATAGCTGCGGCCTGATTCCCTGATCTGTAGCCTCAAGAATCGAAAGAAAATGGCATTTTGGAAAAATCACTCGAAATCTGTGATGGTACCCCTTTGGAATCTCCCAAAAATTGACCCGGAATAAATCCGCCCAAATCGGTGCTTAATGAACTTAAGCATCGTTGAAGAATAGCCTCAGGTCGAATCCTTGACCTGTAGCTTTCGAAATCCATAGAAAATGGCCTTTCATCGCCCCATAAATTACGAAAATGCCATTCGAAAATAAATTGGCCCAAATCGTTGCTTAATGGACTTATCATTCGTGGAGAATAGGATCAGTTGACTTCATTATCGGTGGAGAATAGCTGCGGCCTGATTCCGTGATGTGTAGCCTCAAGAATCAAAAGAAAATGGCATTTTGGAAAAATCACTCGAAATCTGTGAGGGTACCTCTTTGGAATCTGCCAAAAATTGACCCGGAATAAATCCGCCCAAATCGGTGCTTAATGAACTTAAGCATCGTTGAAGAATAGCCTCAGGTCGAATCCTTGACCTGTAGCTTTCGAAATCCATAGAAAATGGCCTTTCATCGCCCCATAAATTACGAAAATGCCATTCGAAAATAAATGGGCCCAAATCGGTGCTTAATGGACTTATCATTCGTGGAGAATAGGATCAGTAGACTTCATTGTCGGTGGAGAATAGCCTCGGCTTGATTCCTTGATCTGTAGCCTCTAGAGTCCAATGAAATGGCATTTCGAAAAAATCGCCTGAAAGCTGTGATGGTACCCCTTTGGAATCTGCCAAAAATTGACCAGGAATAAATCCGACCAAATAGGTGCTTAATGGACTTAATCATTGTTGAAAAATAGTTTCAGGCCGAATCCGCGACCAGTAGCTTTCAAAATCCAAAGAAAATGGCCTTTCGTTCGGCCCATAAATTACGAAAATGCCATCCGAAAATAAATTGAGCCAAGGTGCTTAATGGACTTATCATCTATGGAGAATAGGATCAATAGACTACATTTTCGGTGGATAGTAGCTGCGGCCTGATATTGTGATCTGTAGCCTCAAGAATCAAAAGAAAATGGCATTTTGGAAAAATCGCCCGAAATCTGTGATGGTACCCCTTTGGAATCTGCCAAAAATTGACCTGGAATAAATCCACCCAAATCGATGCTTAACAGACTTAATCATTGTTGAAAAATAGCCTCAGGCCGATTCCGTGACCTGTAGCCTTCAAAATCCAAAGATTACGAAAATGCCATCCGAAAATAAATTGGCCTAAATCGTTGCCTAATGTTCTTATCATCCGTGGAGAATAGGATCAATAGAGTTCATTGCCGGTGGAGACTAGCCTCGGTCTGATTCCGTGATCTGTATCCGCCAGAATCCATTGAAAATGGCATTTCAGAAAAATCGCCCGAAATATGTGATGGTACCCCTTTGGAATCTGCCAAAATTTGACGCGGAATAAATCCGCCCAAATCGCTCCTTAATGGACATAATCATTGTTGAAAAATAGCCTCATGCCGAATCCGTGACATGTAGCCTTCAAAATCGAAAGAAAATGGCCTTTCGTTCGCCCCATAAATTACGAAAATGCCATCCGAAAATAAATTAGCCCAAATCGTTGCTTAATGGACTTGTTATCCGTGGAGAATAGGATCAATAGACTTCATTATCGATTGAGAATAGCCTCGGCCTAATTCCGTGATCTGTAGCCTCAAGAATCGAAAGAAAATGGCAGTTAGGAAAAATCGCTCGAAATATGTGATGGTACCCCTTTGGAATGTGCCAAAAATTGACCCAGAATAAATTCATCCAAATCGGTGCTTAATGAACTTAAGCATCGTTGAAGAATAGCCTTAGGTCGAATCCGTGACCAGTAGCTTTCAAAATCCAAAGAAAATGGCCTTTCGTCGCCCCATAAATTACGAAAATGCCATTCGAAAATAAATTGGCCCAAATCGATGTTTAATGGACTTATTATCCGTGGAGAATAGGATCAATAGACTTCATTGTCGGTGGAGAATAGCCTCGGCCTGATTCCGTGATCTGTATCCTCAAGAATCCAATGAAAATGGCATTACGGAAAAATCGACCGAAATATGTGATGGTACCCCTTTGGAATCTGCCAAAAATTGACCCTGAATAAATCTGCCCAAATCGATGCTTAACGGACTTCATCATTGTTGAAAAATAGCCTCAGGCCGATTCCGTGACTTGTAGCCTTCAAAATCCAAATAAAATGCCCCTTAGTCGCCCCATAAATTACGAAAATGCCATACGAAAATAAATTGACCTAAATCGTTGCTTAATGGACTTATCATCCGTGGAGAATAGGATCAATAGACTTCATTATCGGTGGAGAATAGCTGCGGCCTGATTCCCTGATCTGTAGTCTCAAGAATCAAAAGAAAATGGCATTTCAGAAAAATCGCCTGAAATCTGTGATAGTACCCCTTTGTAATCTGCCAAAAATTGACCGGGAATAAATTCGCCCAAATTGATGCTTCACGGACTTCATCATTGTTGAAAAATAGCCTCAGGCCGATTCCGTGACCTGTAGCCTTCAAAATCCAAAGAAAATGCCCTTTCGTCGCCCCATAAATTACGAAAAATGCCATCCGAAAATAAATTGGCCTAAATCGTTGCTTAATGGACTTATCATCTGTGGAGAATAGGATCAATAGAGTTCATTGTCGGTGGAGACTAGCCTCGGCCTGATTCCGTGATCTGTATCCGCCAGAATCCATTGAAAATGGCATTTCGGAGAAATCGCCCGAAATATGTGATGGTACCCCTTTAGAATCTGCTAAAAATTGACCCGGAATAAATTCACCCAAATCGGTGCTTAATGAACTGAAGCATCGTTGAAGAATAGCTTCAGGTCGAATCCGCGACCTGTAGCTTTCAAAATCCAAAGAAAATGGCCTTTCGTTCGGCCCATAAATTATGAAAATGCCATCCGAAAATAAATTGACCCAAATTGGTGCTTAATGAACTTATCATCCATTGAGAATAGGATCAATAGACTTCATTATCAGTGGAGAATAGCTGCGGCCTGATTCCCTGATCTGTAGCCTCAAGAATCGAAAGAAAATGGCATTTCGGAAAAATCGCCTGAAATCTGTGATAGTACCCCTTTGGAATCTGCCAAAAATTGACCAGGAATAAATCCGCCCAAATTGATGCTTCATGGACTTCATCATTGTTGAAAAATAGCCTCAGGCCGATTCCGTGACCTGTAGCTTTCAAAATCCAAATAAAATGGCCTTTCATCGCCCCATAAATTACGAAAATGACAATCGAAAATAAATTGGCCCAAATCGGTGCTTAATGGACTTATCATCCGTGGAGAATAGGATCAATAGACTTCGTTGGAGGTGGAGAATAGCCTCGGCCTGATTCCGTGATCTGTATAATCAAGAATCCAACGAAAATGGCATTTCGGAAAAATCGCCTGAAATCTGTGATGGTACCCATTTGGAATATGCCAAAAATTGACCTGGAATAAATCCGCCCAAATAGATGCTTAATGGACTTAATCATTGTTGGAAAATAGTTTCAGGCCGAATCCGCGACCTGTAGCTTTCAAAATCCAAAGAAAATGGCCTTTCGTTCGGCCCATAAATTATGAAAATGCCATCCGAAAATAAATTGACCCAAATTGGTGCTTAATGAACTTATCATCCATGGAGAATAGGATCAATAGACTTCATTTTTGGTGGATAATAGCTGCGGCCTGATTCCGTGATCTGTAGCCTCAAGAATCAAAAGAAAATGGCATTTTGGAAAAATCGCCCGAAATCTGTGATGGTACCCCTTTGGAATCTACCAAAAATTGACCGGGAATAAATCCGCCCAAATCGACGCTTAACAAACTTCATCATTGTTGAAAAATAGCCTCAGGCCGATTCCGTGACCTGTAGCCTTCAAAATCCAAAGAAAATGCCCTTTCGTCGCCCCATAAATTACGAAAATGCCATCCGAAAATAAATTGGCCTAAATGATTGCTTAATATAGACTTACCATCGGTGGAGAATAGGATCAATAGACTTCATTATCGCTGGAGAATAGCCTCAGCCTGATTCCGTGATCTGTAGCATCTAGAGTCCAATGAAATGGCATTTCGGAAAATCGCTCGAAATCTGAGATGGTACCCCCTTGGAACCTGCCAAAAATTGACCCGGAATAAATCCACCCAAACCGGTGCTTAATGGTGTTAATCATGGTTGAAAAATATCCTCAGGCTGAATCCGTGACATGTAGCCTCCAAATCCAAAGAAAATGGCCTTTCGTTCGCCCCATAAATTACGAAAACGTCATCCGAAAATAAATTAGCCCAAATCGGTGCTTAATGACCTTGTTATCCATGGAGAATAGGATCAATAGACTTCATTATCGATGGAGAATAGCCTCAGCCTGATTCCGTGATCTGTAGCCTCAAGAATCGAAAAAAATGGCATTTTGGAAAAATCGCCTGAAATTTGTGATGGTACCCCTTTAGAATCTGCCAAAAATTGACCCGGAATAAATCCGCCCAAATCGATGCTAAATGGACTTAATCATTGTTGAAAAATAGCCTCAGGCCGAATCCGTGACCTGTAACCTTCAAAATCCAAAGAAAATTACCTTTCGTCGCCCCATAAATTACGAAAATGCCATCCGAAAATAAATTGGCCTAAATCATTGCTTAATGGACTTACCATCGGTGGAGAATAGGATCAATAGACTTCATTATCGATGGAGAATAGCCTCGGCCTGATTCCATGATCTGTAGCATCTAGAGTCCAATGAAATGGCATTTCCGAAATCTGTGATGGTACCCCCTTGGAACCTGCCAAAAATTGACCCGGAATAAATCCGCCCAAATCGGTGCTTAATGGACTTAATCATTGTTGAAAAATAGCCTCAGGTAGAATCCGTGACATGTAGCCTTCAAAATCCAAAGAAAATGGCCTTTCGTCCGCCCCATAAATTACGAAAATGCCATCCGAAAATAAATTGGCCCAAATCGGTGCTTAATGGACTTGTTATCCGTGGAGAATAGGATCAATAGACTTCATTATCGATGGAGAATAGCCTCGGCCTGATTCCGTGATCTGTAGCCTCAAGAAACGAAAGAAAATGGCATTTCGGAAAAATCGCCCGAAATATGTGATGGTACCCCTTTGGAATCTGCCAAAAATTGACCCAGAATAAATTCACCTAAATCGGTGCTTAATGAACTTAAGCATCGTTGAAGAATAGCTTCAGGTCGAATCCGTGACCTGTAGCTTTCAAAATCCAAAGAAAATGGGCTTTCATCGCCCCATAAATTACGAAAATGCCATTCGAAAATAAATTGGACCAAATCGGTTCTTAATGGACTTATCATCCGTGGAGAATAGGATCAATAGACTTCGTTGTAGGTGGAGAATAGCCTCGGCCTAATTCCGTGATCTGTATCCTCAAGAATCCAACGAAAATGGCATTTCGGAAAAATCGCCCGAAATCAGTGATGGTACACCCCTTTAGAATCTGCCAAAAATTGACCGGGAATAAATCCGCCCAAATAGGTGCTTAATGGACTTAGTCATTGTTGAAAAATAGCTTCAGGCCGAATCCGCGACCTGTAGCTTTCAAAATCCAATGAAAATGGCTTTTCGTTCGGCCCATAAATTACGAAAATGCAATCCGAAAATAAATTGACCCAAATCGGTGCTTAATGGAGTTATCATCCGTGGAGAATATGATCAATAGACTTCATTATCGGTGGAGAATAGCAGCGGCCTGATTCCGTGATCTGTAGCGTCAAGAATCGAAAGAAAATGGCATTTTGGAAAAATTGTCCGAAATCGGTGATGGTACCCCTTTGGAAACTGGCAAAAATTGACCCGGAATAAATCCGCCCAAATTGATGCTTAACGGACTTAATCATTGTTGAAAAATAGCCTCAGGCCGAATCCGTGACCTGTAGCCTTCAAAATCCAAAGAAAATGCCCTTTCGTCGCACAATAAATTACGAAAATGCCATCCAAAAATAAATTGGCCTAAATCGTTGCTTAATGGACTTATCATCTGTGGAGAATAGGATCAATAGACTTCATTGTCGGTGGAGACTAGCCTCCGCCTGATTCCCTGATCTGTATACGCCAGAATCCATTGAAAATTGCATTTCGGAAAAATCGCCCAAAATCTGTGATGGTACCCCTTTAGAATCTGCCAAAAATTGACCCGGAATAAATCCGCCCAAATCGATGCTAAATGGACTTAATCATTGTTGAAAAATAGCCTCAGGCCGAATCCGTGACCTGTAACCTTCAAAATCCAAAGAAAATTACCTTTCGTCGCCCCATAAATTACGAAAATGCCATCCAAAAATAAATTGGCCTAAATCATTGCTTAATGGACTTACCATCGGTGGAGAATAGGATCAATAGACTTCATTATCGATGGAGAATAGCCTCGGCCTGATTCCGTGATCTGTAGCATCTAGAGTCCAATGAATTGGCATTTCGGAAAATCGCTCGAAATCTGTGATGGTACCCCCTTTGGAATCTGGCAAAAATTGACCCGGAATAAATCCGCCCACATCGGTGCTTAATGGACTTAGTCATTGTTGAAAAATAGCTTCAGGCCAAATCCGCGACCTGTAGCTATCAAAATCTAAAGAAAATGGCCGTTCGTTCGGCCCATATATTACGAAAATGCCATTCGAAAGTAAATTGGCCCAAATCGGTGCTTAATGGACTTATCATCCGTGGAGAATAGGATCAATAGACTTCGTTGTAGGTGGAGAATAGCCTCGGCCTGATTCCGTGATCTGTATCCTCAAGAACCCAACGAAAATGGCATTTCGGAAAAATCGCCCGACATCAGTGATGGTACACCCCTTTCGAATCTGCCAAAAATTGACCAGGAATAAATCCGCCCAAATAGGTGCTTAATGGACTTAATCATTGTTGAAAAATAGCTTCAGGCCGAATCCGCGACCTTTAGCTTTCAAAATCCAAAGAAAATGGCTTTTCGTTCGGACCATAAATTACGAAAATGCCATCCGAAAATAAATCGACCCAAATCGGTGCTTAATGGACTTATCATCCGTGGAGAATAGGATCAATAGACTTCATTATCGGTGGAGAATAGTCGCGGCCTGATTCCGTGATCTGTAGTCTCAAGAATCGAAAGAAAATGGCATTTCGGAAAATCGCTCGAAATCTGTGATGGTACCCCTTGGAACCTGCCAAAAATTGACCCGGAATAAATCCGCCCAAATCGGTGTTTAATGGACTTAATCATTGTTGAAAAATAGCCTCAGGCAGAATCCGTGACATGTAGCCTTCAAAATCCAAAGAAAATGGCCTTTTGTTCGCCCCATAAATTACGAAAATGCCATCCGAAAATAAATTGGCCCAAATCGGTGCTTAATGGACTTGTTATTCGTGGAGAATAGTATCAATAGACTTCATTATCGATGGAGAATAGCCTCGGCCTGATTTCGTGATCTGTAGCCTCAAGAATCGAAAGAAAATGGCATTTCGGAAAAATCGCCCGAAATATATGATGGTACCCCTTGGAACCTGCCAAAAATTGACCCGGAATAAATCCGCCCAAATCGGTGTTTAATGGACTTAATCATTGTTGAAAAATAGCCTCAGGCAGAATCCGTGACATGTAGCCTTCAAAATCCAAAGAAAATGGCCTTTCATCGCCCCATAAATTACGAAAATGCCATTCGAAAATAAATTGGCACAAATCGGTGCTTAATGGACTTATCATCCGTGGAGAATAGGATCAATAGACTTTGTTGTAGGTGGAGAATAGCCTCGGCCTGATTCCGTGATCTGTATCCTCAAGAATCCAACGAAAATGCATTTCGGAAAAATCGCCCGAAATCAGTGATGGTACCCCTTTAGAATCTGCCAAAAATTGACTAGGAATAAATCCGCCCAAATAGGTGCTTAATGGACTTAATCATTGTTGAAAAATAGCTTCAGGCCAAATCCGCGACCTGTAGCTTTCAAAATCCAAAGAAAATGGCTTTTCGTTCGGCCCATAAATTACGAAAATGCCATCCGAAAATAAATTGACCCAAATCGGTGCTAAATGGACTTATCATCCGTGGAGAATAGGATCAATAGACTTCATTATCGGTGGAGAATAGCAGCGGCCTGATTCCGTGATCTGTAGCGTCAAGAATCGAAAGAAAATGGCATTTTGGAAAAATTGCCCGAAATCGGTGATGGCACCCCTTTGGAATCTGCCAAAAATTGACCCGGAATAAATCCGCCCAAATTGATGCTTAACAGACTTAATCGTTGTTGAAAAATTGCCTCAGGCCGAATCCGTGAGCTGTAGCCTTCAAAATCCAAAGAAAATGCCCTTTAGTCGCACCATAAATTACG